AATAAAGCTAAAACTCTAAAATTGCCCTCAAAAATCAGACTCGACGTATCAAGTAGAAACTTACCTCGAATACGTGTTCTACTGGTAGAATTTGAGCATTACAATTTTAAGTCTTCATTCCAACAACAAAGAATAATAATAATAATAATAATAATAAACCTTAAAATGTCAGATTCTATTTTTTGTACCTGAAGTAGAGATTTTAATTTTTATTGTGTGAATGGGACAAGCAGTATATGTATTTGAGACAAGTTACAACTTGATACCTTCAGTCGCTGATTTTTGACGAACCATTCAGTGTAGCTTGTAACTTTATTTTGAGACACTCAAGAATAAGCGGCCCAACGTATCGAGTTGTTATTTACCTTGAATACGTATTTCACTAGTCCTATTGACAGCTTAACATTTCAAGTTTCTAGTACGATACAATTAAAAAAATGGAAAAAACTGATTTTTTAGGAGAATAGACTTTTTTTTTTTTGTACTTGAAATTGAGACTTAAAATTTTAATATGTATATCCTACCAGTAAAATACGTTCGAGGTAAGTTTGTACATGTAGCTTTTCTCGAGGGAACGGTTTGATTCCATCGGCTTTCGTAGAAGCGATGTAGCTCGTCATCTTTAACGACTGGGAGTTGGGAAATGTCGTTTGCCCAACCCCTGATAGGGAAAACGCTGCCTGCAGCCAAACAGAGGCGAAAACTTCACGGAAACTAATGAACGCCACAGTGTAAACAACTGTACCGGCCACAACGGACCCTTCATCATGGAGTCAGCCGCCCAACGTTCTTGGACTCGTTCAGCAAATTTTCGCTGGTGCCAGGTTTTTTGAAAGGGGATAAACAGACAAAGACGACGAAAGCCGTGGCTGCGAGGAAGCACTTTTGACGTTGCTCCATTGAATCCGTCGAATTGTCGTAGCATTGGCTGCGATCGGATTGAAACGGAGTGTACAGCTGGAAACAGGTTCAGTTCAATGACTCGAAATGAAACCCTCGAGTCCGCCTCGTCCGACCGCGTCCCTCTCCTTCGATAACAAACCAGAAAGCAATATTAAGCCTATCACAACGCTCCCGTGGGTCATTGTCACCCCGCCGGTAAGTGCGGCCGTTAAGTGGTTTCTCCGACACGTTCTTTCGTCTCCATCTGTCAGGCTCGGGGCCCTGAACAAAAATTAAACGACAGCCTACACGAACCGGGAAGCGATGTGCTATAAAACGATGGCCGAAGCGATCCCACAAACTGATTTTCTCGGGCTGCCGCACTGTTTCCTACGATGGACCTCAACGGACGCCACGAGCCAATCCAAGCCAATCCGGCGCTGTGAGCGTATCGCGTGCAGAGGTCACCTGACGCTCACGTGGATTTGGAATGGCTCCGATGGCTCGTAACGTCCGCAGGGGTCGTATAAGGTGAAACTAGAGTGCCTTCATGTTCGCTTTGCGGGACATGAAGGCACCCTGAGTGAAACAGAGTACAGAACCGTTTGACCCCACTTTAAAACAACCGCCGCAAACCAAAAAAAAATTAAGTTATACATTGAGCGTAGAGGAAGTAAGATAGCGATCGATGGCGGTGCGTCGCGTCGTCCGATGAACATAGGCGGCCCCGTTGAATTCTGCTGCGCTCAGCTCTACTTCGGTGTCCCGCACGCTGAGAAGTTCCACTTATGATCATTTGTATGCCGACTTGAGTCTGCCTCAAACACTCTGCTCAAGGTAGTGTATTTCAAATACTTCTGGTAGTAATTTGGAATCTGTAAATACATTTGATCGAAAGTATTTGTTATGTCTTAATTACATTTTTTATTACATTGTACTCATTATCTCCAATACGCTTCTCGACGTTTGAAAAAAAAAATTGTCACGGAAATTTTTCTATTGGAATGGGAATCAGCACACCCCAGCGTGAAGTTAAGCGATTACATATTTGAAGCGGAAGCGACCGAACAGGAAACAAACCAAGACCAAAGGTGCAGGCTCAATACAAAAGAACAAATAGAAATACATAAGAAAAGGCCCCCCAAAAAAGGCACAAAGTGTTTTGTTTTTCTTTTTGTTATGTTTGACCCTTCTACGGCAAGAATGTCAGTTTTTTGGTCAGACTGGCACCCTCGGGAACACCGTCGGAGCAACGGCGATAGCCCCACACTTTCACGAAAACCGAGGTTGTAACAGTAAGGCAGGAAACAAAAAAGGGACAGGATGAGCCATCAAAATGCAAACAAAAAGTTATCTGAAAGCTTCCTGAACGCGCTTTTTAATACAAAAAAGTAAAAAAAAAAATCTACAATTGCAAGAATGATAGAAAAACTTCCTCCCTTTGAAGTTCATCTCCGAATGCAGGAGTTTCCGAGAAAAGAGAGCCGTGTTTTTTGGCCCGGGTAAATGAACTATATGCATCGCAGAAAACTCAAACTTTGGGACATGTTACGCTATAGTGGTTGGGAGAGAACACGAAAGTTCGAGAACAGGACGTTACCTAAATAAAATAATAATAATAATAATTGAGGAAGACTTTTTTTTTATGAGTCGACTTTACTTTAATTATGCCAAAACAAACTCAACATTGTAGACGCGTATGGGATTTCTGAGTAAAAAACACTCGTCATCAAGAAAAAAAAAATATAGTTTTTTTTTCTTGCTGATAAGCTTTTTTTTCCCCCCCACTAAAATAAATGCTACAGGGGTGAACGTCGTTTCTCGTTTTGACAATATTAGGCTTAGGTGGACGTCGGGTCATGAGAAATTTTGCTTTTCTCAGTTATATTATGACACAGGTAACGTCATACTGTCAAACTTTCGCGTTCTATCTCAACCGCTTCCGTCAGATTCTCACGGAGTTCGAGCTTTTTGCGATGCATATAAGACGGGTTCTCGTTTCTCGGGTATATCGACTTTTTTTCTAACTTTCACCAGTGTGACACTACTTGTTATTCGCAACTTTCAGCGATGGTGGTACCGCGGTGTAAGAATCGTGCTCCCTAGCTCCTGGATGAACGGCTTCACCATAAAAGTGCTTGTCTACACTCTCCTGACGTGAAAAAAAAATAAAGTAAGGCTCTAATATTGCTCGTATAAAGCAAAATTAGAATTACTTACGCCTCGCAGACCCCGCCTCGTACTGCTGTTCTGCGACGATCATCCAGATGACAGCCATTTTGATAGGCGCCAGCGCGCCCCCTGTAGGTCGTGAAAGTTGCGATTTCGTTTTCTTTGCTTCTATATGTGGAGCGCAAGTTCGTCTGCTACTTGCGCAGGGGTTGTGGTGACGTCAGAACGCCGAGCTCTGATTGGCTTCGATAAAAAAGATAGTGGGTAGACCTCAAGGCAGCTACCACTGAAGTCGACCCACCATCCTTTTAAACAGAGCCAATCAGAGCTCTGTGTTCTGACGTCGCCTCAACCCCTGCGCAAAAAGCAGACGAACTTCAGCTCCACACTACGCAATACAACAATATCATCGAAAGTAAAATTGCATTACTAAGTAATTGTACTCCACTCAAGATACTTTGCATGGGAAGTAACTTGAGTAGTACTCTGAGTACTTATTGAAGCAGGAATTTAGTAACATCTTAAATACTTGCGTCGAGTACTCGGGTCAGCTCAAATCGAAAACGAGTGCTTCTGCGTCAGCGTTTGACAAGGACTGGGGTCCGATCAAACGCTTCGCGCAGGAAAACCGCCCATGTTGGGTGGGATTCCGAAAAAGGTACATTCGGGGGTTAAAAAAGCGGGAATTCTTCTGAATCGTAAGGTATCGGACTTGATGAGGGCTGGCAACACTGCTTACAGACGAGTCATTTAGATGGCATTTAAAAAAAATGAGCTCTTTAAACTCATTAATTTTTTTTTATTACAATTTGAAACGGCAGTAGAGGGAGGTGGATGCCATTCCCAAGCATTCATCGAAACGCTGGCCGTGCTGTTTTGGACGCAGTGTTGCATTATTGGAGTAGAACTCAGCCAAAGTATGCAAATTCTCCCAAGGGTGGTGGCAACGCTCTCCTTCCTCAGCCGTTGTTGTTTCAGAATAAGTGTTGTTGAACTGGTGGAGTGTATTTTGCCACCTTAGGAGGATTTTCTCGGCGTCTGCCAACACTGTATCTGCTGCTTGATTCAGGTTCGCCTGGCTGCTGGGGGATTCCGCCCAAAGTGGTGGTATTTCCCGATCAGTATCGCGACAGTCCACGAGACCAGCTACAATTGAATCTTTTCACGTTTAAAGTTTTCTTTATATAAAGTGGAAAACGTTGCTTGCTATTCAGATCCAACGAGGATGGACTCGGTTTTAATCAAACTCTCTATGCAACTGCGCTGCCTATGTACGGCGTATTCGTTGGACGCAATCACGCCCCGAACAAGCTTCTGTTTGTAATAATATCGTCCAAGGTTTTGGCAGGGCTTTCGATTTCTTCCATATTTTCCGCGTTTTCCTTTGGGTGATATAACAGCACGCTTCAACACCCAGCAATTTGGATAATTTAGGATACATCCATGCCGACACCTGAGTTCAAAGATAATATTTTTTTGGTCAAAACTTCTACCCTAATTTGTATATACACGCGCTCTTTGTCTCGTGGAACTGCAGCGGAGGCTCGGCTTACAGTAGGGTTGAATCAATTGAACTGGAGTTCCAGACGAACACTGACGCTACTCTACAATCGTGCCCAAGGCTCTTAACCCGCACTCAATCGAGGTGAAAAAAAAAAAAAAGAATCAACTTCACAGGGCCTGTATGGGGTTAACAACACCGACTTCTTTAGAAAACAAGCTTTACAAAGCGCCCCCTAGAGTGGAACCTTCTCGAGGACTAAATACCGACTTTTGAAAGTATTTGTAAGATATAAAGTTATTCTCAAAGTCATTTCAGATGAAAAAACTTTACTCTATAGTATCTAAGTGCGCACAACTATAACTGGGGGTTCATAGTTCATTGTACCGCTGATCAAAGTAAGAATGGCAAAGTGAAACCTTTTGTGGTCCTTCTTTTTGCGCAGGCTGGTTCGCCATCATCTCTGAGGATGGTCACACAGCCGGCTACTTCACCTGCCTGGAGCAGGTGGCGCTGGCGCAGGTCTCCCACTTCCTGGCCAGGGACCCGCTGCAGGGCTACAGGCTCCTAGGGTACAGCGAGGAGACCGGAAAGGCAGAGTACAGCAGGACTGTGGTGAGAGACGCGGTCATTCATTCATTCGTGCAGAGCGAAATCTCGATAGTCGCTGATTTCCTTTTAAATTTGTTAAACACGTCAATTGACACGGGGCGACACGGAGTGGAGGTCGCTTCCTCTCCAGCGTTCGCTCTGCTAAAGTGGAAAGAGGTGGGAGGAGCGTAGCCTTAAATCTTAACCCGTCACCGACTATATACGAGTAGTAATCTAAATTCTAGGTCAACATTATTTTTTTTATTTATTGAATTTTATTATTGAATTTTCAAGTATGATCCTTGCCGGCTTTTCAAGCTGAGAGGCACCACTGGCAAAACTGAAAACGTGACGACAGATGCCATTTGGGCCAAACTTGGGAAATACAGCTTTTCTCTGACGGGCTACAGGAAGTTAGATGGTCTCAAATGGACGCTAGGGCACTTATAGAACAGGGATTTGGAGAGTAGGAACTTGTCGGTGGCCTCTCAGCTTGGACTAAAGAGTTTATATCCGATTCACACGAAGAGTTTTCACCAAGTACGTCTCAAATGCATAGTTCAAGGGCGAGCTCAGAACCTCTTTCTGTCTGCCCGACGGATCCCCCTGAACCGCCGAAGCTTTTGGCCGATGCTTCCTTCTCTTTTCTTGCGGACTGGGGCACACCCCTGATTAGGGTGCACCCTACCATAACAGACTTTTCCTGTCTCCCTCGCTTCCTTTGTTGCACAGCTTGCACTCTTATGAAGTCGGTGGCTCGTGTCGCTTTGCCACTTTTGGCGGTGTGCACATGGCACATGGTGTCTGTCCGGGTTCCTTAAAGCGGGACTCTAGATCTTCTGCCGAATCCCTGTAGGATCCTCTTCCGGAACTATAGCGTTTGTTTCAGTATTTCCTTTGTCGTCTTGCCTGATTTTCAGCCTATACCGTGGGGCACAGCTTGGACAGATCGTCAGCGTTCGGCTGAGGCTCGCGTCCAATCAGTGAGAACGCGAGCGTGAGCCGAACGCTGACGCAGCGCTCGTGTCTGATCAACGCCCGCGATTGCCGCCAGCAAGTGACGTAGGAAACGCAGCACTACAGGCCTCGTTATTTAACTAGTTACTTCATTGTCAGTGCTACACAAATAGCAATACGCCTCTTTAGTGGTGCACTGCGTCATAAGAAGTATTCACATCCCAAGAGCAAATGTTGGCATGTCAGAATGAAAGGAAGACGTAAATGCGCTTTCTAAATGTTTCTTTGCATCCGAAAATTTATGTATCAAACTTATTTAGGTTGAATTCGAATTTGTTAGAAACCAGTCGCAGACGGGAAATGGGATTAGTGTTGCGTAAAACGGAAGGATAAGACCACGAGTGTATACGACTACACCTTTGTTCAGTAGCGCTGTGCAATGAACACCATTAGCAACCTTATGCAAAAAAACATGAAATCACGCATCATTCGTCTACAGAAAGAGTGTATGCCAATCAGTTTACATATCCTATCATAGTCATAACAAACTTTGAATTGTAAGTAACGATCATAAAAGGCACGCATAAAGTTTCTTTGAACTCGCTCAATACTGGCAGAGTTTTTCTCTCCGATAATGTTCCACACAACTGAAGCAAACTTAATCTGGTTTCGCACGAGAGAGCGGAATGACATTAAAAACATAGTGGATTATTTTTTTAATTGTTCGATATACGCCCGATGACACCAAGTGAAGAACATAACACGGTGAGGCGTAACGATCGATCTTCCCTCGTTAGATGGGCAAAGTACGGTTTCGAAATTTAGTAAAAATTTAAGTATCCTACAAGTACAGATGGGCCAAGCAGGAGTCCACGTTATCTGGGATCCCCGCCCTCTCAAGTGGGATCGTGTTGCCGCCGCTAAAAGCATCAGTATCGAAATGCTAAGAACACGGTTGGAATCAGTGGTGCCGACAGGTATGGTGGGAGCAAGAGGGGGAGGTCTCGGAATCGTTCGCTTCTAACAAGCACCAAAAGAGGTCCCACACTTCGTGCCTCATGTGTCACTATCACCATGGTGCCATCTGTTGGCTGGCAGTAGCCCCATAACGGCTAAGACCAGTTCTTTTTATTTTTAGTTTAAATGAAACCGAGCAGGCAAGAGAAAAAAAAAAAATAGGAGGCGGACAATATCTCTGCAGAGCGTAAGAGTATGCCACACAGTCCGCTCATTTATGTTAGCATTTTCTCTTCGAAGCCCGTGCATGGTGGCTATGCTTCCGGCACACAGATTGTGCTGTGCTTTTTATACGCTCTCGTTCGCGCGATCGTCACACCTCCCTTTTAGCTAACCATACTACAGGACCCCGGCTTTATGCACATCCCGGTCGTGGTTAATAAATAATTTCTCTTTTTACGCAACGCCGTGCGCCGTTCAGGGGTTTCAGTTTGAAAAGAAGGGTTGACATACGGCGTTGTCCTTTTGGCACGTACTCGGGGTCAGAGGTGTTCGTGTGCGACCGACTTTACAGAACGCGCTTAGTGAAGAAAGCCACGGTGAAAAAAATAAGGACAAAGAGAAAGTTTCAGAGCTGCGACTTTGGTGTCCGCACGTACGTGTCGAGCGGAAGATGAACTCGCTTTTTGAAGTCTCTTTCGCTACGCCATGTGGGTCAGCCCGGCAAGGAAGGTCGTTCCAGTCCAAAGTTTGAGGTTTTAGTTGAGCTACGAAGACACGTGTCCTCGGACTCGGCGTCCCAGTTATAACGTCGTTGCCGCTTTCAAGACCGCCCTTGCGCGCTAGTATAATTTCATTTGACTGTAGCGTACGGTACACACCGAAAAGGGTAGAGCAATCTGGGACAAGCCACGAATGTACGGATGAAAAAAAGTACACCACGCAGCACGGTTCGGTTATTCTGGTGTTTTCGACGGCGACTCCCCTTCTATCTGAGACGCAAATTTGTGTCATTCTCCCCAGTTGCGTGCTTTAAAAAGTTAGGTCTGCGCTTCATTCCTACCATTAAGCCCGGTTAATTTTTTTTTTTTTTGGATTGTCAATGCTAGATGTTTAGTGATAAAAGCAGTTATATACCCTAGAAAAGTTATGGGCGACATTTTGCACAAAGGAATTACACGATTGCGTCAACCTGCAATAACACACAGCTGTATCGTCATTGGGCCTGACAGACATAGCTTGGCACAGCAAAACCAACGGAGTTTCTGTGCTGCAAGAAACCATATCGTTTTTCAACGGAAAATTTAATTTATGGCTCGAGAATGATTCTAAACAGATACAACTTCACGCTTGACCTTTGACTACGTCACGTGACCCGACACTACGTGACTCCCTGCAAACGTTTTCTCCGTTCATAGCTGTTCGCCGCCTTTTCCTTTCTCTCGCTGACGTGCGCACGACCTCTCGCAGGTCCTTCCGGGCCAAGTTCTGCGCTTCCTGGGCGTCTACGAGGACGTCAACATCCGGCTCAGCTTCAGCCTTAGGTCCTTCCGGAAGGCGGACACCCGCTACGCCAAGTGCTACAGCCCGACGGGCGACGTCGTCTACGTGCCGCTCAGCTCCAAGGGGAAGTTCTACACGGTGGCCCGCAAGACGTCGAGGTCCGTCAACCACGTCTTCCTCATGTCCCAGCTCCTCAAGTTTGCCAAGGTGCCGCTCACGGTGCGGTTGGTCAGCGGGCCGCTGCCCAGAGTCCCCTGCGGGTTCACGGGGGTCCTGAGGCTCGAACACGTCCAGGTGAGGACATGGAGTGATTTGTCTACGGCGAGCTCCTTGAGTCGAGGGCTGTGTTAATTAATATATATTTTTAAAAGGGGCACAGCAAACGTCAATTCGATTTGAGATGTTTAGACCGCGCAAGGTTCGCCCACCTCCGCAGTGTGTGTATATATGTATATAGGGGTGATTTCATCTCAACTCAGGCACGAATTCTGGGTCGAATTTTTAATTAAAAATATATATGTTTTGGGGCAATTCCTATAATAAAAGAAGACGCAAACGGCAATTTCGTCGGATTTTTTGTTCTCAAGTTATGGACCGTTGAAGCGGCCAAGGTGGAAAGTGACGTTTTTCCATGTACCATATTTCACTCCATCCCTTTTCCCTACTTTTTACGCTACATCAGTAGAACTTTTTTGGGAACACTCTAGACATATGCTTTTTTTTATGCTAATTAATCGTCTAGGTCATAACATTCTTAATGTTTTTTTTTATTTGTCAAACCGCCTCTATGCGAAGTTATTTGACGAAGTTCAGCAAACTGTGCTGTGTGACCTAATCAACATATTTTTATGATCTTTATATCACCGTAAAGCTCCAATTAAGTTCTTGTGAGTATAATTTGAATATGTAGCGATAAATATATAATGCTCTACATGTGCCTGAAAAACGAATATTTCGAAGAACTAGCAAGTTTAAAGTCGATTTTCAAAAAAACCCACTTTTTATTTATTTCATTTTTTTTTATTCACAGTTAGTTAATGTAGTAGTCTATCAGAAACTACCAGCAGAAATTATAATATATTGTTTGTATGGCCGCTATTAAGACTTGAATCTCGTGCTATGACCGTTTTGAACGGGACTCAAAGACGGTCTACTGAGCAGAATTTCGGCCTATGTAAGTTTTTCTATTTATTGTTAGCAGTTACCTCAGCAGTTACCTCAATACCAAACCATACACATTTATAAAATTTAGAGTAGTGTACTTAAAAAAAATTACTTCGAAGTCCGTATCCACAAGTGCGGGCTCTGGAAAAGTGTTTTTTCCCCAAAGCACACGAGTACGCTGCGGCGGCAAAGCGGGGTTTGCAGGATTCCGACATTTTTCACGCGGGTGCCGCTTCACTGCACTGCACCAGTGGGCAGTGAGAAGCGCACTCAACGGAGTCAGAAACTTGCGATTTTTACCGTGAATTTCAGAAATGAGGGGAGACCATCTTTTTTTTTTTTTCGGTGTCATTGGGAAAGTTCTTTACCTTCATCGTGATTCACGCTTTATAAAACGGTTCCAAACCCGCGGCTACTGAACGCGGTTCACGCATTGGACAAGAACACTGTGTTATCAGTCGGCGCGTCTTCGGGCACAATGAAGCCGTCAGCGAAATCAGAGTGTGTGAAGTAAGGTCCGGACCACAGTACGGGGGTGCTCCGAGCAGTGCCAAGTTAGGAGCGTTGCTGCGATGAACACTGGCGGCACGAACCTCCAAGAGAACCCTTGACGGCTTTGTCTGGTGGGCGAGAAAGGCGGGTGTGGGGATCGCTCACTTCTAGCGGACGAAGGTCTCACACTTTATGTGTCACGATCGCTATGCTACCATCTGTGACCTGGCAGCAACGTCACAACGGCAAAGACCAGCTAATCCTTTGGAAATTGGGTTTCTAAGTAATACGGAGCAGTGAAGAAATGAACACAAGGAGTTGTGTTCCCATCTACGGTTGAACAATGCCTCTGAGGATTGTAATAAAGCGCTTAATCCGCCCATTTTTGTTGGGACTTTCTTCTCTTCTAGTCCTGCCTGAAGCGCAAGGTGGCGCTGCTGCCCGCATAGACTTCATAGACTATGCTACGCGCTGTAGGTTTCAATTGCAGAACCGCTCTCGCGTGCGCGATCATCACTGTTCCACTCCTAGCACCCCCAACACACACACACACATATTTTTATCATGAGTTGGAGGTTAAAAGCTGCAAAACGCGCGAAAAATCAACCGAAAATAGCACGAAAAGCGAAACACGCCATTTTTTCGAAAAATGAACTATGCGTGGATGTTTATCCCACAGTGATCGTAAAAATTCGTCTAACGAGACCAGATTTGCGACGTTCTTGCACTAAATAACTTCAATTTTCAAAACCAACGTGGAATTTTTTTTTTTTTTGGTTTTGACGTTTAGGTTTTTGGCCGTGTTCCAGCGTTTACATCAGTGTCCTCCGGAGCAGTTGGTGCGCAAAGCTAAGAACAAACTAGTTTTATAATTAATAGCATCCTCGATCACCCGCACCGGTGCTACCCGTCGTCTTCAATCTAGTGCACCGGTGCGCACCGGGCGTCCCCGATCGACGGAGAGCACCCTCCCGGTGCGGCTCTTAGTTGCCCCAACGCTCACCAAGAAAATCGACGGTGCGCCGGAGTGCAGTTCCATCAGGCCAGGGGCCCTAGTCTGGACACATGGCGAAAAAGCCGGCGAGAAATCTGGCGGCCGTGATTGGACAACTCTGCACTTGACCTTGGGGCCGGCCAATCAGAGCCGCCGAATTTTCCGCCGACTTCCTCGCCAAGTGTCCACATTAGGGCCCTAGGAGCGGGAATCGAGGAGATGGCGGGAAGAGCAGCAGACGCGCAGTCTATCGGGGTGGCGACCTTGCGAAAACGAACACACCCCGAAGCGGCACTCGATGAGTGCCTCAGCTCATTGCAGGGGAGGAGCCCCCCCCGCCTGCAAATTATATCTGTGGAATTGTCACCCGCTTCGTGACCCTATCGACAATCAGGTCCACCATAGACCGCTAAATCCGCCAGTATAAAGCCAGGAGAAATTGACAGCAGACGGACACCGAGTATTGGTTTGGCACCAACAAAACGGGAGGTGACGCATGGTGGCGCTCGCCGCAGTGCACCGGCGCGGCGCAGATTGTCTGGGTTGCACCGACTTCGCGCTGCACGACCGAGGAGCGCTGTGCTGGCTGTGCACTGCCCTGGTTTCCGGGCGACTCCGGTGCGAGTTGATCGAACATCTCAACAGTATTTAATTACAAAAAAAAAAAAAAAAAAACGTTTCGTAGTGTCTCCATACTTTCGAAAAAAGGCATTGTTTTTACTGGTTACGTTGCCATGACATTGTGCTCCCGAATTTAGCTGCTCCACAATATGGCAGCTTGTCATTTAAAAGTTTCCTAAATCACGAAAGGCCATTATTGAAAACGGACATTAGCACCAAGAACCAGGAAAAATAAAAAATAAAAACACCATGTTTCCAAAAAGAGAAAACAGAATTACCGAATGAACCATCTACTGCATGCACCTGAGCGCATACAACGGTTGTGTCAACTACGATCTCAGGTTTGGGTATTTCATCCATTCACCTTGCCCTTTGTTCCAGTAACATTTTGTTCTGCTCTTTACAAAATTGTCATCCCAACTAAAACTTTGAAGAAAAAAGAAGACTTCCATTAAGAGTCTCTTAATTGCAAAAAGTGTAATCTGCATGCATGGGCGGATATAGGGGAGGAGGGGCTGCCACCTCTTATAAAGCAGGAGACACATGAGCGATCAAAACGGGCGCCACGCGGCAGTATCATAGCAACCGATGCTGACGTCCCTACGTCAGTTCCGCGCGGCGTCGCTCGGATCTGGTCGAAACAAATACAGATAAAGCCGCGCGGTCCGCCTGTGGTGCGCCTAGCGGCGAGCGGCGCCCGCCGTTCGTGTTCATGCCCCCCCAAATTAATGGACATACACCTTTCTTTTTTCTTCTTTTTTTAGGAAGTGATTGCTTCTGGTGACATAACAAATACCAGGTCAACAAAACAGATCTGAGGGGCTATGTTCAACAAATGTTTCGTTTCTCCTAAAAAAAAAACAAAAAAAGAAAACGGAAGAGGCGATTTTGCATCTGATTGGTTAGAGGCTCAAATGACGAAAGTCCGTCTTTCGTCATTTGAGCCTCCAACCAATCAAATGCAAAATCGCCACTTGTTTTTTTACAGGAAAAACGCAACATTTGTTGAACATAATCCCCTACGTTTTGCCCTTGATGTCATCTCCTTGAAGATCAACCCCCCCCCCCCCCCCCTCCTTCCTTCCTTTCCCCAAGCCTGACCCATAATTCCCCCGTTGGCATGCTGGTATTGAAATAATATTCAACCTGAAGTTACTTTTTCAGCAAGTATTAAATATCTGGGCGTTACAATATCGTCTGATCTAAGCTGGAACGTACACATTGACATCTGCGCCGCAGCGAAAAAATAGCTCTGGTTCCTTAAGCGCAACCTTAAGTACGCTCCACCTGAAACAAAATTAACTGCATACAAAACGTTAATACGGCCAACTTTAGAACATGCTTCTGTTATATGGGACCCTTTTAGAAATTACCAAATAAGCAAAACTAGAAAGGGTGCAGAGAATGTCTGCTAGGTTTGTACTGTCGAAGTATCGCAGAATCGAATCAGTCTTCCCCTCCTTTCTGATCGCCGGAAAATAGCTCGTTTAAAATTCCTATTCCTGTTGAGAAATCAATGTTTAACCTCAATACAACTATATAACGCCCCGTGTATCTAGGCATCTAAGAAGTACTCATTCACGTCAAATAAATTTAGAGAAACCAAATGATGATACCTATATGTATTCTTTCTTTCCAAGAACTATACCAGAGTGGAATAACCTCCCTGAAGAAATAGTATTAAGTGATACCCTAGCTTCTTTGGAAACATGCATTTCTAAATTGTATAGGCAGTATTAAGGAACCTACTCCCTATGGCACAGGATAATTTCGATTGTATGTTTTTGATACTTAAATGGATTGAGACTTCCGTGACTCCATTTATTATCTGCTCATGTGTTTTTTTTTTTTTTTTTTTTGATTTGTTCTATGTTGTTTTTGCGCGTTCTGCCGCGTGCGCTCTTGTAAGTTTTAGCACTGAGAAGATATGCGTAAAAATGTTTTTGTTGTGTATTCAGCTTTATATGTACTACTTGGTGTTCTATTTTGTATACTGTTGCACTCCTGTAACAACCCCTACGGGCTAACAGTATAAATAAATAAAAAAAAAAATCTTTACAAGTCATAAAATACACATAGCACACCAAATCTACCGTAAAATCCCGAGCCCAACTAAAATTGAGAGAAAATTGGATGAAAAAAAGGAGTGGACCAACTTTCGGTGTGCAATAAAGAAAAGTTGAAAAAATGCTTTTTTTAGATTAGGTGTCTTTGTCAAACTTCTTATCGCGACGAGGGGCAATGAAGCAAAGATGGCTCTACTTCCCAGTCAGCACTGTTCGCTTTTATCCCACCATGGCTAACTAGACATATTTACGCCAAGGTCATCATGGATCCGAGCACTATTTCTAGGAGTGGGCTCTTTTGGTGTTTCAAACAAAATAGCAAGTCAAGCCAAAAATAGGGGTGGGTTACCTTACGAGGGTGGGGCACCTCTCGGAATTTTACGGTTGCTCATTTCCCATTACACTAACTTTTCCATCCACACCACCCTTCTCCACAGGAACAGGAGGTCGTCCTGGCCTGCAGTCTCCAAGATAACCGCCCCACCCTACTTGAGATCGACCTGGGCTCGACCTTCTCGTTCGCACCCGAGAACGACCCGCGGAAGGTCGGCAAGGCCAGCAACGTCTACAACCAGATGCTGCGTTACTGCATGGAGGACGCAGACAAGTGGCGCATGGAGATCAAGGTCGCCCACCATGTCGTGCCACACTACCGGACCCTCAAGAAGTCCCTGTCCTCGGTCAGCAAGAAGTCCATGGACCTGCCGTCCTCCGGCATCCCAACGCTCAAGTCCCAGACCTCCAACTCGTCCAAGAAGTCCACCACTTCATCCATGTCCAGCAACCCCTTCAAGAGGCTCTGGGCCTTCCACAAAACACGGAAGCTCAAACCGATGGGCGATGGCTCCGAGACGGCGGACGAGTTTGAGAAGTTCGGGGTCTTTCGCAAGGACGGGTTCTCGTCGAGGATGTTCGGCGGCACGGACCACATCTACGAGTCGATACCGCGGGTGCAGCGGAGAGCCCGATACCTCCTGTCTCGCGACCTGCTCGGGTTCAAGGGTGCGTGCGAGTTCGAGCCGGGCGACGATGGCTACGGTACCTCTCACCTCGACAGCGACTCGGTCTACGACTCCATTTCATAGCTAAGAGGGACTGAAGTATTAAAGATTCTGTGCAACCGTCATCACGTTTGAGGACTCAAGTCAGCTTCTGCAAGCCGGAAGCGATTGCCGTTGCATCCGTCGGAACTTTACAACTGTGTCGTGCGATGTGCCGACCGAGGTAGATTGTTCCCCTTCATGGCCCCCTGCAGAAGTGGTGCAGCAATGCGATTGGCAATCCATGGACTGGACTGGGACCTATTTCGTGGCTGTCTGCTTTTGCCGTAATGTGGAGCGTTGCATGCCCGTGGTGCAAAAGACTGGCACCTGTGTGAAGCCGTTATTCGTGTGTCCCCAAGCTTGTGAATGGTGTTGGTTTATTACACGTTTCTGTCTCGGACCTAACAAAAATCCCACTTCCGCGAAGTGCCTTTTTGTTTTTTAATGGAAACTGTTCAAGAAGCCCATACAACAGTGTGGACTAGTCTAGTAAGTTAACAAAAGCTTTCAATGCTTGCATTCCTAACATGCAACATTTCAGCAATACAGTGATGACTGACACTGCCTTCTTTAGGTGCGCAATACAGAGCCAGAAAAAATAACACGACATGCCACAAAGTCTAACTTTGGGCTGCCAAGAAAAAAATGTAGGACGAAATTGTTTCTGGAAGCTACCAAGAGTTTTCCTTATCCCAGTGGCCAATAGGGTTTTTAAACTTGGAACTAGATTACGGGAGAACAACTTGTTTTCAGAAAATAGGTGAGTTGAATGAAGACAAAATGTGTATCAAGTGTAGCAAAGAAGTAAAAGCCATGTCATCATCAACAATGCTGTCGAGGTCAGTCTCTTTATTGCTTGTCAATGTGACAAACAACGGCGTCCACCTAGGAGTCTGCGATGGTCACCTCCACCTCGACGCCAGGCTCAATGCTGATGGACGTCTGTTAGCAGCTGTCAAGGGCCACAAGCGTCCACAGAAAGCACAAAAGATGTTAAGACTTCCCTTTAAAGAAGCAGTGCAATGATCTTCACATTAAAAAAATTTCCAGCTCGTAGATTTTTTTATATGCCCAAGGTAGAGAAAACATGCAATGTACCTCAAATACCGCGACTCCACTGTAATGGCAAAAAGAAAAGATTTCTTCCCGATCTGCAGCCACATGAGGCAGTCATCGGAACCACCGTGTGATGTGAATCAGAGTACACAAGTTTTCGTTGCACCACCCATCAAAAGTCAACACATCCATTTCTTTTCCGCCGTCTCCCTCCCCATCTTTTGTCTCGGTCGCTCGCCGCGACTTTCAAAGATGCTAAGCAGTTGCTCTGCTCTATTGTAGCCGAATCGGACCTTGAAAAGTCGGCAATCGTGAAGGGTGCACCTTGAAGATGGAATTGAACATGGCACCTCACTCGAAAGACGGTGGAAGTTCAGGGGGGCACATCTAACCCACAATTTAATTCATTATTTTAAAGAAAAAAAAAAAAAAGTGCACGCAAGAAAAAATGGTTTCCTGTTTATCTTGGCGAAAGCCCAAAAATCGTTGCACTGCCCTTTTAACACCTTCCCAAGAAGTTGACAATGCGTTTCCAGTTTGCCTTGTTGTTACCTTGCATGTTTGTTCGGGTGGTTAGCTTTCCTTTACGCTTGTTCTCAACTTCATAAATACCGTATTTACTCACATAATGAACACAGTTTTTCCCCAAAAAATTGACACATACTTGTGTCTTACGCGGGGTAACATTTTTGCAATTACACACTTCGTGCAAATTTCAAATTAGGTGCCAACATGACACGGCAAGGTACTGTGGTACGTCACCATGCTTTATAAATTGTGAACCGGGGGGATCACTGGTTGAGCAGGCAAGCGCACACCAGCTCAAAGCACATGGGGCGAAAGCTCGTGCTGCAGAGCCCCGCCACCCCTGCCCGTTTCGATCTGGACAAGCATCGTACCGGCGTGCGGTTGTGTGTCACTACTGCGTGATGCACGTTAAAGACTTCAGGCTAGCGGTCGTACTGCACTGGCTAAATTCCTCATCTACAGCTGGGAGACTTGTCCGTTGAAGTAGCCAAGTTCTAGGCTGTATAAACATACACACACCCCAATTTCTCTTAAAATTGCAACCTTTTTAGGGCGTTTTCGGCGTGACTTTTGTAGAAGGAAAGGTGCCCTACGAAGCTTACTCAGCGTGGAAAGCAACACGGCCATTCTTAGGTTATATTGCCAGTATCCCGCAGAATATACAGAGACTACGCGTATAAGAACTCGTACGAAGTCTAACCGCCGACCGCCGAGGCCCGCTCCAACGTGCACCTGACTGCGCCATTCTAATATAGATTAATTAAACACATTTACCCAGAGTATGTGAAATTAGGCCTAAGCACTTCCACGATTTCACTGTCCGAAAGCGGACCACAAACGACGGCGCGTTTGTTGACATCAATGCATCCAACAGGCGAAGGATGTCCAGGGCTGTGCGATTCCTCGACCCAAGCTTCGTCAAGTGTGCACGCAGCTCGGTCTCACGGTTGATCACTTCTGCAACTAAGCCCTTGCAGCCATTACGAGCGGCTTGGCTTGGCCTGGGTGCAAAAGAAAATGGCCTTGGTGGCTAGCTAAATTGGTTGCAAATCAAGACTCGCAGAGACGAAAATCGAAAGTGTGTTGATTACACGAAAAAAAAAAAAAAAAATAGTCACAGTAATAATACCTGTTGTAGGGGGTGCGTTCATTATGCGAGTAAATATGGTAGGTATGTGGTGGTTTAATGGGCCTGCCTATGCCATCCTTCTGTGCTGCTGGCTGCACAGCTGCTCGTCCACCTTGAGCACACATGAAGCTATGTGCGTACACTCTTTACTTCTACAAGAGACGCAAAAATTGCCCCCCAATAAACGCAGTAACAAGCGTGGCACTCCGACCTGTTTGCCCCCTTGAGTGGCATATGCTAGGCAGCTCAGAGCTCTCGATATGGTGCCAAGGCATATTATTATTTTAAATGCGTACAACTTACATGGCCAGCTCATAGGGCTATTGTGTCCATTGCCTACATGTAGCCTTGACGGTGATATCACGCTGATGACCTCACAGCTCACAGTGTTCACAATGATTTGCGTCTGACCATGGTGATGGAATGGTGAAAAGTCCCGAGACTCTCAGGTCACGGTGTTTTACGCGACACTGCGATATGGCCCAACATTATACGACAGCGTGATGCGATCTGACGTCACGTCGACGCCGTGCAACACAATAACGCGAGATCATGACGTCACGTGACCACATGGTTTCCTGGGGGTCAGGTGACACCACGGTTTCCTGAAGGCTTTAAGATATACCCAAGAGAGGGGCAGTTTTTTCACCGAATGAAAAGGATACGATCTGCTTGACGATCTCGGAGGGGGAGTGGAGGTCGATGACGCGCTTGTAGATGCGCATCTGGTAGCGATCCCAGGTCTTGGATCCCTCACCACAGGGCGTCTTGCGGGTGGTGATGCGCAGCGTTTTGGTGGGCATGCGCACAGGGCCCTTCACCCTTAGCTCCTTCTCCTTGGCCCCCTTGATCAGGTCGGCACACACTGTGGAGGAACGGAAGAAGCCAATCAACAGATTGCACAAAAAGGGAAGCCGATTAGCTCACTGCAGACAAACAAAAGTAAATCGATGCAACGAGAAAAAAAAGGTAGTTGAGGAGGGAGCACAAACTTGAACCTCGTGAATGTCTTCCTTTCTTTCCAAAACAAGCATGTTTAACTAAGACTGATCTCTTCTGTGCTTTACAAATGCAAAAAGCTTGTTCTGAAAACCGGTCAGCCAAGGTAAAAAGGCTGCTTCACGGTTTCCTCTACAAAAAATAGGTTAAGGGGTTAAGTCTTAACTGTAATTTCAGACTGTCTGAACCTTTCTAGGTGTCTCCTAACCATCTTAGTAAAAAATTTTACCAAATACCAATATGCAAGAAATTGACATGCCAAGTTTCTCTGCAGTGGCATTTTGGTGGGCTCTCCACCAGTTAATATTCTCACTGTCGCAGATGTGTTGCTGAGCATACATCTACCAGCCATCAAAAGTAAGGTCCTCCATGTGCTTTGATGCCACTTTCAGAAGACTTTCACTGTCCCTGTCAGATTCTCTGATGGGTTCCCAGACCCACAAAACTTTCCTGAAAGTTCCAGGTTTTGTCCTAACCCTGAAAGTAAATTCGTAAAGTAACAACAAATACTCCTGCATATAATTGACATTTCTCAAAACACAAATCTCGAAGTTTTACAGGTCTTCCTACTTCAACGTTTTTTTATCCCCCTACTTGCTCTTTTGACGAGAGCTAGAGCTGCTCAGCTATCCTGCAGGTCTAAAGTTACAGAAGAAACGCCGAATCGTAAAAACGAGAGAGGAACAAAGATGTGACAAGTGTGCACCAGCAGCTTTTAAGCACATTGTCAAGTTGATATAAAACAAGGCTTAGACAGTAAAGACAGGCCACAATTGTAGACTGTGGTGATGTCCTGGTATTACTGGGTGAACTCTTTTACGAGTCAAACAAACATAGGTTGCATGTAACGTCCCGCTAGGAAAGGACGAAAAGCCGCGCTACGCTGGTGGTTGACTTCGCACATTGCATGTGCGCTTACCAAAGCGAGGATGGCATTATTTTCAATGAAGACACGCAGTCTTTGCCATGTAAACATGAAACGTGCTGAGCTTATGGCAAAGACCGTCAACCAGTGCTCACAGAATTTCGTGGCCTTGGTGTGGTCGCACTACGAGAAGAAAGCACTGATATGCCATTGATGTACGATCTTGACGCAAAGGACCGTCAGGTGGCAAAAACAAGTTTCACTACATGGTTCAAGTTGCGTAATGCACTGGAAGCCCATATTTATTTGACGAATGGCTCTATAATCCGAGATTCAAAGTGCTTCAAGAAGTGAAGGCGTTCCGATTATGCGAAGCGCTGGTAAACAACTTGAGGGTAAATGTGTCGCGTTACTGGTGGTTGTGGGGTTTTTCAACTGACGGTGCAATAAAGAAAAAGACAAAGGACATCTACATCACAAACGGGCAAAGCTGATGCAAAGGCTTTGACTAACATAAATGTGCAAGTAAAGTGATATCCGCCACTGCTAAGGGGGTGTCCAAACAGGCCACGGCAGATGGCGCGTTTTCTAAATTCACGGCATATGCGGTACTCTGGTCCGCCTTCATGCGTTTTTTCTTGCGGGGGGGAAAAGCTTCCCTCTGCTTGCGACCTTGGACAGAGTTTTAGAGTGTGCTCACCACGGTGCAGACAGCCATCTGCATGCCTGCTGGCTGTTGCAAGGCCTCCGCTGTTGTTGTCTTTCCCCAATCTCCCAAAAATGAGGAAGGGGAAGATACGACAGCGAGCAGACAAGCCGTGCTGCTTGGTTGATGCACAAACTCTAAACGGATGTGCACACAGCGACTTTCACGGCAGATGCCGATCGGCATCTGCCGAACGGCACGTCATCTGCTGTGTCCTGTTTGGACATCCCTTAACAACATGAGTCACACACTCAGTAATGTGCGGCCGCATCATCTCATTAATGCTGGTTCTTTTGAGCCTTCTCTTCGACAGCTGTTCCAAGGCGTACACCGACGAAACTTGGAGTGGGAGACATCACAAATTGTCATCTTCTTGTTCCTTGAACGATTGCTGTAGCAAATGGTGCTTGCCGGTGTTTGACATCGCCATGTGACCTAGGTGCATGTCTGAAGTTAAACTTCGTCACGTCTCAACGACAGCAATCAACCACCACCTGTTGTAAAAAATCTTATGCCAGGTAAACATGATGTGCGGGCTTTTAGTGAGTTACAGCTGCCAAAAAATCTTTCAACAGTGGTCTCGATTCGATGACATACCTTTCTCCAAGCTGGCGACATTTCGGCTGGTCAGGGTGATCCTGATGCGATGGACCGGCCAAGACTGAGAGTCCTCGACGGGTTTTCCGGCGTCCTTGTACACAGACTGTGTTTAAAAAAAATTAAAACAAAAAGATCAACACTGCGCAAATGCGACACGATAATCAACACGAGCTGCGTTGCCGGTAAACGTGAGTTCATAGGCCTAGCCTCGCTCGGCATTTTGGGCGTCGAAGGGCGGAACGAGTCATCGCTACCGGAATGTTTAATTTAAACTACGAAAACTCACCATTGTTGATAAATGGGGTGCTTTTCTGGCCGACTTAATCGAAGTATTTCAACGAGAAAGTACTTGAACAGCGGTGAGCCAGAAACGAGCGGCAGCACGCCAAGACAACGTGGATGAAAAGAGGGCGCAGAGAGCGGGTGCGGTTCGGTTGTTCGTGCTCATAGTGGTTCGGTTTTTAGGGCAAAACGTAAAATGTTCCTTAAATATATTCTATAAAAGTGAATAATTTGTTTTGTAGGATTTAGTTTATTACGTTATTATGCAATTAAATATTTTGCAAAGCTTAACAAATGCCTTCAACATTAAATAGTGACGTCACAAAGGTTGATATAACATAAAATTCGTACGAATGAACGTAACGTAGCATTTTGCAGCAGATGACTTGGTGACGTCACTTTCCTTCTTTTTAAACATGGCGACGTCTACGCTTCGCTTTTTGGTGAGTTCTCGCTTGTCGTTTCGGGCCCCGAATCCTCCTCCACTTTCGAACTTTCGAAATATTCTCGGTGAATTCGGTGATCGACGCGACGCAAACTCCTCTTGGGTTATAAAATGAATCGCAGTCTCGTGTAGCGGCTTTCACAGCGCTGACTTTGCTGCCAGTTGTGTTCAGCGTTGAATGCCTACGCTAGGGCTTGCCGCTTGTGTTCAGTGGTATTCGTCGTGTGATATCCACAGACGCCGTGATTTTCTACTGCAAACGCGACAGGTTGTGTCTACGTAAGGGCCAACGCAATCGCAGATGTTTCTAGTTTATCAGAAGAGCTTTTAGCTGCGTTCATGTGTGCGAGGAATCTTCACGAGTTTAGTTTCATTCAATAATGCTTACGTTTCATTGTTGTTGTCTGAACAATTATTGAGCAAGATTTTATTGATTAACACGGTTTAATACCAGTGCGGCTGAATACTTGCAACATATGAAGAATAGATAGACGGTACGAGCTATTCTTATATTTAAAACACCGACTTAATTATTGAGGTATCAGCACATTGATTTTGCTCATGCATTGATTGGTTCAGCCAAAGCGCAGCACGCAAAAAACATGGTAAAAAAAAATAGATAATTGTTGACGCACGTACCGACAACACAAACAAAATATGGTGTGCAGCAAAAAGAAAGCCTCAAAGCCAGGTGGGTAAACCCTTTAAAATGCAATGTACTACGTGGAGCATACTACATCACTGTCACATATTTCACGTGATTAAAAACAAGAGCAACCAGGCGAGCCAGAACTGTTCGCCATTATAGTCAGATGTTTGTGGTATGTGTATCAGGGCTCCTAGGGTTTGTGATATGTTTTTTGGTTTATAAAAGTTGCTTGAAAAAAATTGCTTTTTTACCCTAGATGTTTTTCTTAAAGGGGTACTCCGCCGATTTTTGAACTACCTCAACTAACTATATTTTCTGACTCCCAGGCCTTTACCCTTTCTAGAATGCTATTTAATATCGTGAAATTCATAATAGTTATTGCGAAATCGGCAAATGAAAATGATGCAAAAACAGACATTCAAATATACCCGCCCTTTTCAGGGCCGTGACGTCAGTGGAAGTTCAGCTTGCCAGTCGGGCGAGCAGTCTAAAGAATAGAATATGCCAATTATTTGTTCCGTGCTGGAGCGCGGGGACTGGAGCGAGCTTCCAAGGCATTCATTTGACACCATGAAACTGCTTCAAATCAGTTGGGAACAAATTCTACAGTTCAAAGAGTGAACCCCCGCACTTCCAATGACGTCACTTTTTCATAGTTGCCAGTAGAGACTTTCAGTTTGAAAAACACGGTGAGGACCAAAATTGTAAATTTAATAACTTCGTGAAAAAAAATTATTTTGACCTAATATTTCGGATACTATTTTGGCGATGTTGTTTGGCGAGTTTAGCAAAATTTCAAGCAAATCGGGGACCATGAAGAAATCGGCGGAGTACCCCTTTAAAAGCTGTGACAAGTCTACAATATGCATGAGTGCTATAGTACTCGTTTTAATCGAAGCAATACTTTAGCATAGCACTTGCCTCAAGCCGCTAAAGTAAAAAGTGTAGCTGTATCACCTGCTTCAACTTTTTTTCCTTTTTTTTCCCAACATTGACGAAAGACTAATTTCTCTCCGCTCAACAGAAGCTTGAGATCCCTCCTTGTTCAGCTTGCAAGCACATTGAACCAAGCTCGAGCATCTGTCTTGTACAATATTTTTTTTTCTTGAGGCAAGCTCCATCTTCACCGTCTAAACATATATCTAAAAAAAGAATACAATGAACGATAGGGGAAGTCATAGAAGCATGTTGAAAGTTGTGCGACGTGAGCCAAAGCGCTTTTTTTCCCCCCCGAACATCTGTTGTTGCTCGACTGGGGTGTGCCTCGAATTTGCGTCATTTTTACGCAGGGAACTAGCAAACTTTTTTTTGTTAGTTACACATGTGGTTTGCCTCGCAGAGGAGGAATGATTGGAGACGGATTGCTGCTGCCTATATTTTGTTATCATCTAAGTTGACGGTGTTGTGGAAGCTATGCACTTGCGGGACCAGTCAACCACCCTCCTTTCATCACCTGACCCGACTTTCTGCATTTTGGTGTGGGTGAGCGCATGTTTATGTGATGGAAGATAAACGTAAGAGTGGTCCAGCGGGCATGCAACTTCCGCCGCACTGTCAGCTTAGGGGTGAAGGGAGTGTAGCAGACGTTGGGCTTAAAGGTCAACCTGTAGTTCATTTTTCTTGCTTTCTTCCTTTCCCAGTTGTCACAGGCAACCGAGAGAAGAATCCAAATCAATGGACACTCTTCAGTTTCTTTTGTTAGTGTTGTGAATTATCTTGTCTTTAAAAATGGGGCAATGCAAACTGTCTTCAAATGCAGCTAGGACTTTATTTAACAGCAAACCCTTTTATAGGTACAGGACTCCTGAGTCAATTCTAAAAAAGCCCTAGTTCTTACTGGGGGACAAAAGCAAGGGCATCCCCCAACTACAAACTTCACAAGGTTAGAGGCCGGGCCCCAGCAAGAGACAGAACAATGCCCTTGAACATAAAAGATCAAACATCCCCTATTATTCTCCCAATTTCTAAAAAAAACATGTTTGACTCCTCACTAACTGGCACACTCAACATATAGGAAATAAAAAACAACAACCTTTTACTTTTGGAAAAAAAGTTTGGACATGTTTGTTGAACACTGGGGCACTGACACAATTTCCTGAAAACATGATGCTACTTATTTCGTATCCAACATGTTTAAACTGGTTGCCCTCTCTATGACACCAACAATGGCCAAGAAACTGAATGAAGAATAGGCAGTGCAAAATCAGATTGAGTTCCGTATTTCTACATCTTTATTTTTTTATAGGTTTTAGGCAGTGTCGATTAAGCCGACGATTCGTGGCCTATGTAAGGCCGTTGGATATCTCCTCGAAGCTGGTTGTTGCAGTGTGCTTTGCTGTCTGCGATCACATTGCAGTTGTAACTGAAGGAGAATCTTTACTGAAACATACTTCAGTCTCTCCGTGCTAGACACTTTGTGGCATATGTTGCTCTTGTATCATCACCATTTTGTTAGCTAATTAGTCTTGCCAGGGGGTTTTGCTTGAAGGACCATCATGTTCAAGATGTTCTTCTTTGCCTATTTTGTAGGTTCATGTGTTCACTCACTTGCACATGGCACATGTTAACAGAAAAAGAAAATGGCTTTATATAGAGGGTATATGAGTACACGTGTGTGATTCCATATAATTTTATTTGGCTCAACATTTTTTAGCCAGCGTAAGTTTACTTTGGGTCATGCCATTCATACCCCAAAGTGTGTGATTATGTAACAAGCCCTCTTATGTCTTCTGGGTCTTCTTATTTATTAGATGCTAGATTGCAATGCAATCTAGCAAACAATGCTAGATTTCCACAGGAAATCTAGCATTGTTTGCATTTGCCATAGAAAAGCAAACAGATAAAGCAAAAGCACATAATCATATGTTACAATGACTGCAGAGCATTATTAGAAAACGCACGTACACCACTCAATGGTAACGAGAAGAAACAACCGTAAAATACTGGGGATCGACGCCCAACTTTCGCTGAAAACTAGGTTAATTCAGACACGGGCGCTTGTCCGATCAAATCGGGTGCTTAATGTAGTATAATCTGCAGAATTCCCAAGTTTGGTAAATCTTAAAGACCCGTTCACACACTTGCGACCCCTTAGAACCGAGTGCCTTGAAACCTTTTAAAATTTCTTGGTATGAGAGAACACACTGGCATGCTGACGCCATCTATGCGGTGACCGTGGAACTGCATTTCACTAGAGTGAAGGTGTTGCGGGATTTCCGAGGTCAAATGTGTGTAATACCTATGACAAGTGGTCGTTTATGACGTTGTTGAAAGTTTTTCGAGCCAAGAAAGAAAGGATGATGCACAAGAGAAATAGAAAATATACGTGACCGCCAATAAAGGGCGCCAGTGTGTCTTCTCATTGTGAGAGATACTAAGAGGTTCCAAGGCACTCGGTCTTAAGAAGTCGCAAGTGCGTGAACGAGCCTTAATAGTGGGCGCTTGAACGAAGTAAGCGCCTCTGCAGCATTTTACGGTAGTTCCACAAGTGCCTCAAGTTATTTAAGAACTATGTAGGGGAACATAAGTTCACAATTTCCTGTGGAAGAAGGCTCCATTCCACTATTGTTCTAGGAAAGGGAATAGTGAAATATGTTGATTCTACTTTGAAATGGCTAAATCATTTTAGAATGGCTATTCCTTAAAATGCGAGTAATATGCGGTTTCAAATTCTGGGTCAAAGTTAAAGAGACCATGATACATCATAAAAATGTACTTGAGTCTAGCATTCCTGTGCGGGTCGGAAAGAGGTGAAAGGTCTAGTTGTTTTAACATGCCAGTAACAGAGTCTGCTCGCTTGTATTTGGAGGGTACATTACCAGGCTGCAAGTCTTTGTACATTCTCCGATTTCTAAATGTGAATTTTCCGATGGGGTTCTGTATTACATTTACATACTCTAATAGCCTTGTCCCAGTAGAGCGACAAACACAGATTTTTGTCCAACGACACCACAAAGTTCCGTGTCGCCGATGCTGTCCCACTGCAACGACCAACAGCCGCGACAATCGCGGACAATTGCCGACAAACGATCGATGACGGATGAGTTCTTGTCTGTCGTTGGACTTGAAGCGCAGCAAGCAGTCCCACCAAGGAACATCTTTTAGAGACAAACTTATCCTCCTCGCCCGCTTGTGCCTTTTGTTGCCTCCCTTCCCACCCTTCCTCCCGTTCCTCCCGTGGCTCGCTCTGTCGCTCGACCTTCAGAGAAGCCCTTGGCAGCCGCTCCTCGGTCCCGCAGTTCCGGTCCCTCAGTTGCTCATGGTGGTCACGGGCGCGGCTTGCTTGCTGGCTCCAAACGGTCGTGTTGCGAAAGGGAATTTGCTGTGGCTGGTTTTGCTCGCAAAAACTTGGTGTGCGAGGTGGTGCTTCAAGACGCCGAGTTCTACGTGCCCGCATCATGATGGATACACCCATGTTTGAGCACTGACCAAAGACTGCTCACCACAAAGTAGGGCACGACGTTCCGCGGCAAGCCCTTCCGGCAGACGAGACACTTGTCATCACGTTCTGGGATAATCGGGATGCCATATTGTCCACCAAAAAACGCCTGCCCTCGATCACTCGGATATGAAGTTATAAACATCCTCAAAATCGGCGTGAAATTCCGTGGCGCTCACCTAGAATCCCTTAAACGACCCAAAAAAGGAACAACTTGGGTATTCTATTTCGGAAAAAGTTTGGTGTTGATTGTCACGACCACAGTGGTCACGACTGTTTGCGGAAAGTTGCCAACGGCAAATGAAGAGAAGCGGAAGTTTTAATCAAGAAATAAAGTAATCGTCTCCACTTTCACCGTGTTTGTCGTCGCGTTTTATGCCCAAAAAGCAAAGCACGAAAACCGCGTCGCCATACTCTGTTTGTCTGTGTATTTTGAAGTGTTTTGTTGACAACTCCAGCCACACCAGGAAACAAGTTTCCTTGTCCGAGTGTTCTGCATCGTGGCCGCCAGGTGGGACAGCGGACTCCGACAAACAGACTGTCTGTCGGTGTCGTCTGTCGCTCGTTGTCGTGTGTCGCTGTCGTTTATTGCTGTCTGTCGCTCTAGTGGGATGCAGCTATAGCAATGTTTGTTTGACTGTTTTGTAGACTATCAGCATGGCACTCATAGTTGCATCCCTAAAATTTATTTTCAAATATCGTAATGTATGCTTAGCAGAACAGTGCCATAGAATATGTGTATCCATCCATTTCACACCAAGTGCCCATTCCCAAATTTGTAAGATTTGAGAAAATATGCACAGCACATTTATATGTTAAATTGATGACCAGAAAAGCGCCCATCCCCCATTTTTTCGCTATCATCTCCAAATTTTGAGTGGGCACTTGCCTGGTATTTTACGGTAGATATTGTCAACATGACTAGGGGTACCCCATTTTAAATTATTTTCAGTTGTTACGCCCAGGGATTTGTAGCTATTCACTTCTTTTAGAGAAGACTCTTTAACTGTATATGCATAGGGTAGAATATTTTTCTTGTTTGTTATCCCTAGAATTACAGCTTTGTCAATATTAATTGCCATCCCCCATTCTTGGCACCAAGGGCCAATTTTCTGTAGAGCACCGCCTAGGTTAGCTTGATCCTTCCCAGTTTTGATATATGTAAATGAGACAGGCATCTGTAAATAATCATATTGTGACAAAATCATCAATGGCTTGTGCCATGTCATTTACGTATATCAAAATAAAACCGGACCCAAAACGGAGCCCTGTGCGACCCTTGCTGATACTGGTAGTACGCTAAATATTGTGCTATTTATTTCAATGAATTGTCTTTTCTTTGCGTATGCAGTTATAAGTTTATGTGTTAGATATCTATATGGTAGACAATAGAAAGCTTTTGACATATCTAGAAATGTTGCATCCATTTGTCCCTTGGAATCAAGTGAAAAGTCATGGATTCATTCACTTAACTAAGTAAACGTTGAAAGTTTCCATCTAAAGCCGTGCTGGTTCTTGTAGAGAAGGCCGTTTTCTAAATAGTCACATAATTATTCTGAGACCACGTGTTCCATTGCTTTATAGCTGTTGCTCGTCAGTGATAATAATTATATAACTGGCAGGGAAAAGTTTATTGACAGCTTTAAAAATAGGCACTACCTTAGCGCATCATTGGTTGGAGAGAACGGAACCTTGTGATAACAAAGCTCTGACCATAAGCGTTAAATATTTTGAAGCCCACTCAGCGTACTGTTCTAAGAATAGGTTTGGAATGTTATCCGGTCCCCCAGACTTATGCTCTTTGATTTGCAACAGAAGAAAAAAGAAATAAAAATATCTGTTAGTGTAGGTGCAAGGTTTCTAACACTACTGTCTCTTCGTGAACAGGAAAATTGAACATGCTATCGGAGAACACAAACTGAGAGGAACTGTTGAATACATTTGCAATAATCTCCGGATTATTAGCGACTTCATTGTCAACTTCAAGATTCAATATGGGCTTTTTTTTTTGTTGGAGAGAGCTCCAAAATCGCTTAGGGTCAGACTTCGTAAGAGTCTGCATTGTAACAGAAAGGTGCACGTAAGCTGCCTATGCTTCATTTATCAGGTAAACAAGAGCTTGCCTAATCACTACTTTTTTCTTATGCTTTTGCTTTATCTGCCGTCTTAAATGCAATATTTCTCTGGTGATCCATTGGTTGCGTTTCTTTTTAATTAGCTTTAAGTTAATGTAACGTTCAATACAAGAATTAACTATTCGTTTTAAAGTCCTTTCACATCTCGTCTACTGGCCTTTTAATTAGCTTTAAGTTAATGTAACGTTCAATACAAGAATTAACTATTCGTTTTAAAGTCCTTGCACATTTCGTCTACTGGCCTAGGGTTGTCAAACTCATACAAAGCCATCTCAAAATAGTCTAAAATATCAACATCACTTGATTTATTTAAACGGTTATCCCAACTCAAAGTAAGCTGTTTTTAGTTTTGTTCAAACAGTGTTACAATATTCGTCACAAAAATTTCTGCTCAGTACCTCTAAGCGCAGCAAAACAGTCACATTTTGCAAACTACCGGCATTAAGGAAAAGAAAAAACATTGGTTGTCCGATTTTGTAAAGAGCTAGTCCTATGTTAAGATGCAGCTACCCGTGTCTTCACCGTTTGTAGAATGGACGCAGCAGGTGTAGTGTTGCCACTGATTCCTGTTCATGAATGTGCATCACATGGCAGTAGGGATGCACGTCCGATACCCAACCCATTCATGTCGGAACCAGCGGGAATGAAATTCGTGATGCCCACGTCTGCTGAACAGACTTGCACCCTGCTCAGCTGTGGTATGTCGACGTGCACCGCTGCACAAGCTCTACCAATGGTGTACCTCCTCCAGGACAGCCTTAAAGCAGGGTTCTCAAACTGAATTCTTTGGTATTCTGCAGGATGCCCACATGTGCGCCCTGAGCTTCCAAAGTTCCCCGACCACCCTTGCCCCTAAGTGAAGCATTTTTATAGTTTACGCTCTCTTTCAGCAAATCTGGGCCATCCATTGATGGATAACTGAGTCAGATAACAACCTGGTACAGCGGTTCTCAACCACCAATGTTTTGGGTACCCCTTCCGGATCAACAGAAGTGATTGGAGACCTCCCCCACCAGGAGGGAGTAATACTAGTAATAATAATAATAATAATAATAATAAGTAGTAGCAGTAGTAGTAGTAGTAGTTTATTTTGGTTCAGGAGAACCGCGGCGCTCCAAAAAGGCAAGTGACCCATACCATGAAGGGGCCTGCGGCGCCGCATCTAGTGAGGATGGGATGAGATTGTGTTCAGATGATACGAGAGGTGCTGACCATATTGAAATGGAGCTTGTGGGCAAGGGTGGCGGGATGATGTTACGGGTAATGTGGGTCCAATGTTGTTTAGCGAGTTGCTCGCTGGGACGGTTATCTTTCAGCAGGTCTTAATTACAATGGAGAAAGGGTAAATGAAAGAAACTAAGCCTGTGCAAACCAACTTTGAAGCTCTCAAATGGTGAATAATCAACCCTGTCTCAAGGGTGCGTGGTTTGGTCTATTTATTTTTGCGGGACAGCCAGCATCAATAAAAATGAAAGTTTTAGTGCTCTTCTTGGCTGATTTTCTAAGGCTAGTGGTTTCCAAATGGGGCATGTGGATCCTTTGGGGTCCCTTAAGGCCTCCTCGGAGTCCCTGAAGCTTTATACCGTCGGTGAAGCCAAGCACTGAAACATTTTTTTTAATGGATGCTGGCTACCCCACAAAACTAAATAGATGAGGCCATGTGCACTGAGAGATTAGGGTTTATTATGCTCTATTTCAGGGCTGAAAAGTTGGTTTGCACTCATTTAGTTTCCATCATTGATCCTTTTGTCGTTGCAGTTGTTCAATACCGCATCCTCCCCCCTTTGGTTGGGGTCCCCCATCACTTCCGCCAATCCGGAAGGGGGCTCTGAAACATCCATGGTCGAGAACTGCCGGTCTAAGGCTTCAGGGAACCCAAGAAGACATTTAGGGATCCCAAAGGGTCCATGGACCCCCATGTGAAAACCACTTCCCTAGTATGTGCATTATTGGCTTCAAGGTTTGTAGGCTCCAGAACTGTTTTTTTGCATCATTGCAAAACCTGGGGGAGATTCCTTGGCCGTGTCAGTCGAGGCAGACAGATTCGTCGAGACAGAAAAGTTTGAGAATCTCTACCATAGAGGCCGGTTGCTCTTCCTTCATTTCTCGTGCCATTTTGCTCTTTTGATCCCCTCCCCACCTATCCGTCTGTTATGCATGCTAGAAGCGCAATTCTTATTCGCCGCTTCCCCTCTGTTTCAGGACCCAGTAAGGAGGCTTTTTCGGGTCCCCGTCCCTCGTCTGCTGCTGCTTTCACTGCTCGTGGCTTGCTTGCTGCCAGACGGGGCGGCTGCCTTCTACGTTCCTGGCGTTGCCCCCGTGGAGTTCCGGCGGGGTCAGGCTATCGAGGTGAAGGCGGTCAAGATGACGAGCACCCTGACCCAGCTGCCTTATTCATACTACTCCCTCAACCTGTGCAAGCCCAAGAACGGCACCCTCAGCTACAAGTCTGAAAACCTGGGTGAGTCGCCCTTTCTACAGTGAGGCTGTTTATGGCTAGGATTCCGTGGATTTTTCATGTGCGTCAACAAAAACTCGGGTCCCGAATTTGATGCGAAATCGCTTCATTCTATGCAAAAGCTTGTACGTCTCTTCACTTGGATATGCATTTTCAGTAGGTTAGTTATCAATAGGCACCATTTTCGAGATCAGTAGACACTCAGCTGGTTAATAAAAGGATTGTCAACAATTTTCCGCTGTGCGACCTGCGTCGGCCATGTTTACGTTTGCACCGCCTTCTCTTTGTCGTCGTCCCAAGCACTTGCGTGCCTAGTTTCCTTTCCTTCCGCTCTCCCGGGGTGGTAGTCCCATCGCGCATGTCTAGTTTCCTCCGGCTTTTGTTCGAAATTCTGTCACGTCTGTGTCGTGTGCTAAACAGCTTCACTGGTCATTCACCCTTGCAGAGTGGAATGGCTAATGATTTTTTTAAAGCAATTAGGTTTCTTAGGATGTTCAGGCCACTTTGAGGTATGTTTCTGGTCGTTTCTTTCTCCCCGCTAAATTTAGCTATAAAATTGACGTAACATGACTTGATGTCACCTGACCTATATGAAAATTCAATTTCCCCGCTAGGTTTAGCGGGAAAATTGGTGTCGCATAACCTCAACTCTAGTCCAGTTTCCCCACTAAATTTAGCGGGAAAAACGACGTCGCACGACTTCACGTCACGTGACCTACACACAAATTCAGTTTCCCCGGCAAATTTAAGAAAAAAATTAACGTCATGTGACCTGAACACCATTCCAGTTTCTTCGCTAGATTTAGCAGGAAAAATGGTGTCGCATGACTTGATGTCGCGTGACCTCAACACCAATTCAGTTTCCCTGCTAAATTTAGCGGGGAAAATGACATCACATGGCTAAATGTCACGTGACTTACACTCACACTCAGTTTACCCAGCTTACCCGTTAAATTTAGTGGGAAAATTGACACGTGACCTGTTGCGGCTCTTTCAGTTTTGTCTGCAGCTGATTGCTTAAAGGGATGCTGAACCGAAATCTGGATTCCCCAAAAGACGTGGCAAAAGCGTGCAACGGGATACTACAAACACCAAAATATCACTCATACAGCGATATCTCAAACGGATGACCGTATTTTTAAAAAAAAAGAGGCGCATTTGGCAGGAATGTTGACGTCATGTTTCTCCGAGAAGGAGAGGGAGCGGCCTTGCGTCCTATCCGCCTCGCGGCCTTGAGGGAGCGAAGCGAAGAGAGGAGGAAACTAGGTACCTTTACGGTCACGTGCCTCGTCGGCCTGGTTCAATCTCGACTTCTTTTTCCAAAAATACGGCCGTCCATTTGAGATATCGTCTTACTAGTAGTGTTTTAGGGATTGTAGCTTCCCGCCTACATCTCCAGCATTGTTTTTTTGAAATCCAAATTTCGGTTCACCATCCCTTTAATTAGACAGCAACATAATTGGTTCTTCCCGAATATTTTGTCATTGCCTTTTCACTGAGAACGTCAGCGACATTGAAGGGGACGATGAGGAGTAGTTTGAGCATGCATTTAACAATCAATGCACAGTTTCTTTTTAGAGGTACGGTACGCAAAAGGCATCTCAGACTGCGGCGTATGCCACATCTCAGTTTTATTTCCTTGTTTTCTTCCTAGTGGTGTCGACACTGAAAAACGCTGCAGATTGTTAAGATTCTGGCGGTGGCATGGTGGGGGCGGTGCACATAGTAAAATATGATGACACGTCTTATAATTAACAAGAGACAATGATACTGACAAAAAGAATTGGGAGGATGGGCTGTCTTTGTGTTTTAGTTCCATCACCTTGCGCTGCATAGCAGACAAAAATCTGCACATTTCAAGAAATCTTAATGTCTAAGCTTTTTTTTAATACGAAAGCATTAACTGTCCCATGGAGCGAGCTGACGTCATCAGTTTGAAGCTCGAAAATGTCACCTAGTTTCCACGATTTCACCTTCGGTTCCATTGGCTGGCATTAGTCGACGGGGCTCCCATTGGCTGCTGCGCTTGTCAGTTTCCACGACCACTCGCCCCATGGCGCTGCATGTCCATCAGCGCGCTGTTAACGCGCAGCGTCCAAGGTCACCAGGGGAGCACGCGCGCTGACCGGCGACGAAAAGTATGCAGCAGATGAAAAAGGGAGCGGACAAGCAGCTTGCATACTTTCGGATTCACCACTCATAAGAAATGCTTAGGTGTACCTTGAGCTTTTAGAGCGCAGCTCTTAGGCGCCCGTTCCCGGCTTGAGCGGCGTCGCCGTCGGCGTAACCGGGAGTAACCCTTGTAACCTTTGTGAGGGTTAAGAGGGTTACTCTCACGAGGATCACGAGGGCTACGAGGGTTACTAAACCTTGTAACCCTCATGAGGGTTATGAGAGTTACCCTCACGAGGGTTATGAGAGTTACCCTCACGAGGGTCACGAGAGTTGCTTTCACAAGGGTTACTAGAGCTACCCTCACGAGGGTCACGATGGATATCCAAATCACGTGACCCCCCCCGTTGACGTCATCGTCATTGATGACGTCATCAGTGACGTTACTGATGATGTCACCGGCATCTGCATTGTCATCGTCATAATCAGTGATGACGTCACCAATGACGTCACCGGCATCCGCATCGTCATCGTCATCATCAGCGATGACGTCACCGGCATCCGCATAGTCATCGTCATCATCACTGACGACGTCATCAGTGCTGATGACGTCATCGGTATCCGCATCGTCATCGTCACTGATGACGTCATCGGCATCGTCGCTTGACCCCCAGGTCGCGTGCCCCCCCGACGTCACGTGACACCCCAAGGTCACGTGACCCTCCCACCACCCGAGGTCACTTGACCCCCCCTCCCAGTACCCTTCCCTCCTCCTCCTCAAGAGCTGCGCTCTAATTCGGCGTTACAGGGAGTTGTAAATGGCTTTCATTTTTTTTTTCTAGTTCTTTATCTGTGCCCAAGCTCAATATCTACAGAGACCCATTCATACAATGTCAATTCTAAAAGCAAAAGGACCGAAAGATGGTAGTGCTCTTAAAGTAGAGCAGACCAATGAAGTGACTGATTGGGCTCCTAGCTATAATAATAATTTGAGTTACCAAACCACTGCAGAGGCAATCACTCAATTTTCAAATGCAGTTAACGATACAAACTTCAGAAATGTGAAGCAGGTGTAGGCAGTAATGTTAGGTACTGTGTCTTCAATAAATGACTATGTGTTTACTTCTCCCTGAATAAAAAAATAAATAAATAAAGGTCAGAACAAAAAAAAAATAGCAGAAACAACTATTTCTAATATCAGATAGGCTGTGTTAAACTTTGAAATTTCGTGCCTCCTTAATTTCAAAGCTCTGGCACATACTCTTTTTTTATCTCTTCAGCTTTTGTTAAAGGGCAACTCCGCTCAATCCTGAAATTTTCGGGATTATGAATGATTTCACATAAAAAAGTGCTAATAAAAGGGACTACGTCAATTTCTTTGCTAGAAATGGGATATATTTTGTGAAATCTTCCTTTAAACATGAGCAGAAACCGATCCTTCGGCTCCGTATGGCAATATTGGCCTCAAGCCGCCAAAAACATGGCTATCACGTTGTATGAGCGGTCACGCAATCCCCTGCGCCAGGTGTTGGCAACCCATGGCCCGAGGGCCTCATGTGGCCTGCGAGGCAGTCTCATACGACCTCCGGCTCGACACCAGAAAAGGACCAGCCTGCCCCCCCTTGCAGCTTCCTCATAGAGACTTGAGGACCACAAGGCAGTAGACAGGAACAAGAAGCACTTCCAGTTGGCATTGTCTGCATCCTCATATTTTGGCAGAGAATGTGTTCAACTCGCTCCTCCTCTATATTTCTCCTTCCTCCCCAGTCCATATGTCGCGGCCATTAGCTCTGTAATCATGTTTCGGTTTTGGGCAGTTGCTTTTTTTTACTCTATTAAAAATATATGTGAATCTGTAGCAAAATAATGACTAGGTAGTCTTCTGACATCGTATTAGATTGCCGGGCAAAAATAACAGTTTTTTGTTTTTATGGGTGGTAGTGCCCCCTTAGGTGGGGCTTTGTGTGCTTGCTTCTGCCCCCTAGGAGCCTTTTTGTATTCACTTGAGCATCTATGTCACACTATTATGGATCACCATTCTCGTTGTTTAAGCTGCATTATTCTGTAGAGTAGATATGCAACTTTCACCTCTCCCAGTGCATCCCAAAGCAGAAAATGGAAGAACAAAACAAGATAGAACAAAATACAGCAGAAAGAAAAAAATGAAAACTTTATGGCTCTATTGTTACTATACTTCTACCAGCATCTCTAGCACGTGGAACGCCTCAGACTGATGCATTACGTGTCTTAATAAACATTGATGCACCAAGGACAAGTGAAGGACGTAGACTGGACAAGCGTCTTTCACTCATCTACGTCTGCATCTTTCCAATTGTCCTTGGTGCATCAGTGTTTATTGTGTACAAGCAACTCGTCCAACAGACCATTGTGGTGTTTTGTCTCCTACACCTTTTGTGCATTTGGGTGTCTCCTAGATGGCAACAACATACGTTGGAGCAGTACACGGCAGAGCACCAAAAACTGTCGCAATCCTGGCGGTCGGTCGCAGAAAGAAACGCCATGGCCGTCAAAGGGGTGCCACCATCACTGGGATGGTGGCACCCTAACCCGTGGCAGCCAGTGTGTCTGTCCGCTGGCCGAATGCAGGGCTGGCCAAAAATGGAACCTCCCGCGACTCAATTGACACTCAAAAGCGTGACTTCAGTAGAGTGAAATAAAGTAACTGTACATGCTCCGCTTGCGGAGCAGAGTACCGCAATGGTGCCATTCTGGAGCCAAGCACTGCGGGAAGCCACGGTCGGTTTTTGCAGGGGCACGAAGGCGCAGACGCGAGGCAGCGTGCTGCGGCGTGCTGTGGCGCGCTGCGGAAGGAAAATAATGCGGCGTGCGGCGACGAGCCGCGCATGCGCCGTGATCGTTGTCCCGTCGTTTCCTGTCTCCCTCTCGCAAAAAGCGCACCCGCGTATGCACCTGCGGGTCGCGTGTGAAGTGAAGTCGTCAAGTCGCTGTTGCCGGGACGCAGATAGCGTCGTGAGCCTGCTGTCTGCCCAACTTTAGGAGGACCTTTCCCCTCGAGTGATTGCAAGAAGCAAAAGAACGCAGGCCTGCTCCTTTTCCTCTTGTGTTCAATCGAAGAGCAAGTGCTGCTGCTCAGCCTGTGATTTCTTTTTTTTCAGCAGACAGTTCATTTGATATTATGTAGACGGAACAGTGCTTTACCTTTGTGCGTTCCAATTATATGCGAATCTGAGGAATGTCGAGCATGCCCACTTTCATGCTAAAATAGTGTACAACTTTTCTTTTTTTCTTATCCGAAGTTTTTGGCTTTTTACGAATTCGAGACGGCCGAATTGAGCGCTCTTGGAGACCGGAATTTTCGCATGCTTTCAAGTTGGTCTAAATTTTGAATTCGCTTGGGATCGCAAACATCAGGGGCTCGCGAATAATAAATGTTAGACGGTGCTCCAAACTTTGGGAGCTGCCGCAAGGTGCAAACTGCTTAATATAAAAAAGTCCACCGACGTTCTACTTTCATTGCGGACAAGTCTTTGAAGTTGCAGTCTAATTCGTTGCAGGAACCAGAATGATGCCGAGATTGACTGTTTTCCTATTGACCAGTATATTCCGCCCCGAGAATAGGGCAATAGAGCTCTGTCTACTTTCAGTGTGTGACACTAACCTACCCCCTTCCCCTCCCCTCCCATCTGCCTTCTCTTCTATTTTGAACATTTTGTTGAACCTATTAGGCTGTTTTGCTACGACCGACATGGTCCCTTGAAGAAATTGCGAACAGGCACAGCACTAACAGTCTCTAAAACATGTTTATCCACACAACTGCCTGCAGAAATCTTTTGGGGTATTGTAAAAGGGCAGACCATGATTAAAAATGATCTCCTTCCCATATGAAAAAGCCAAACGAGGCGGCGTCTCAAATCGTGTCTCGCCGTCGGAATCCAGTACAAGCTCCTGCCGCTGTCTGCGCTATTTGTGCACTTGGTAACACTACAGCCTGCCATTTTGACGGGGCTCTTTCTACGCGCATGCAAAATTTAATGCGGTAAACGACGTGGCGGCTGACGAAAAGGCCGTCTCCCGCTTTCAAACGAGAGCTCGCCGACTCGCCAAGATGGCCGGATGAGCCGGTCGCGTATCGGTATCGCGTATCGCTCTGCGAGAGCCGCAGACGCGGGGAACGCGATCCTCGTCCGTGTCGTCTGCTTCACATACGCTGAAAACGAATGTCCCAAAACATTGCTGGCGTTATAAAAAACAGAATTATACTGTACCCAGTTGATACACATAATGTTCAATGACTTAGGAGGCTTTCGGTTCGTTCGATGTTAGTCTAAGATCTATATTTTGCGAACGCAAAGCGGAATATATGTTCTCACCGAAACTCATCGCTGTGGAAAGCCGCTTTCCCGCAAGAAGGTCGGATCCAGTTCTGCGCACGTGACCACTCCTCCGCCGATACGGAGATGGCGGCGAAAGGAAAAGGAACGCGCTACTCTGGCTCTGCAAGCAGAGCCTATACAGTTACTCTAGAGTGAAAGAGGCAGGACGTTTCGAGGTGTCCAGGTTGTGGGAGGTTCTATTTCTGTCCTGCGTTACTTGCAACTCTACTTTTGTTCAAAGGTGGGATTTTTAAAATTCTCTTCATATTCTTGTGTGGACGTCGATACCATGAGCGGCTCTCCAGCTCGCCTAAATCGATGTCTGGCGCCATCGCTCGATGCCCGAATCGGGTCGCGTCTCTTTGCAGGGGAGGTGCTGAGGGGCGACCGCATAGTGAACACGCCGTACGAGGTGCAGATGGCGGTGAACCAGCCGTGCCGGCTCCTGTGCCACCTCAAGGACAACAAGCCCATTCCCATCTCCTGGCAGCTGGACGACTCGAGGCTGGTGGCCTACAGGATACGGCACCAGTACTCCGTCCACCTGTGAGCGCGACACATGCCCTCTCCGGTACAACTCTGGGAACACGATTCACGATTTATCTCGTCGTTTTTTTTTCTATCTCAGGTTGGCGGACAACATGCCGTGTGCGACGAGGCTGGAGTCGTTCGACAGCTCGCAGCCCCTCTACGAACATGGTTACAGGCTTGGCTTTGTGGAGGACGACAAAGTATGGGGTTGTTTTTTACAGTGGAGGTTCTCAGATACTTTGATCTTGGGAAATGCCCATCTTTCTGGATTGATAGATGGGGAACTCCCTTTGGTTTGGCACTTATGCAGTAGAGCTGTGGTTCTCAAGCATGAATGTGTCGAGGACCCCTATGGGAGCAGATAAAGCAACTGGACACCCCATGCCAGCGGGGGAAGGGGAATGGGGGGTATAAAACAAGACAACTAGTGTAGTGCGAAAAGGGCATCCTTTACTGTTTTTGACAAAGGTGAGAAGCATCAAGTAAAAGAATGAATGAGTGTGAAGTGTATTGACCTTCAACTAATTTATTTACCCTATTTACTGGGGGGGAGGGGAGGGGCGGCGGCGGCGGCGGCGGCGAGGGGGGGGGGGGCAGGGGCCACCCAGTAAAATTGGAGGCATAAGGGTACCCCTGAGCGTGCTCTGGACAACCCCTGGGTTCTAAGGAACCCAGTTTCAGAGCAAACATTATTCTTTGCTACATTTTGAGACAGTCCTGAAAGTACAGATATATAGCATGCTCTTGATTTCCAGAAGCTTTTCTTATTTTTTATGCTTTGCTTAGTTTTTGTTAATTTTGGCACTTCCTAAAGCTATCTTTGGGGGTACTTTCTATCTAAAAAAGCATATTCACAGGCTTTCTTATTTGTTACGTTTTCCGTTCGGCCAGCAACAAACAAGTGCCGCCAGTTGAGGTGTTGCCCCATGTTCCGCCTCTATTGAATGTGATTGAGGAGGGATTGAAAGGTGATATCCACACCAATGTAACTAGTAAGTCCCGTACTTGCACAGTTGGCCTTACTATTATGGTCATATTTTTGTGTGTAGCCACAAGTTGTTCTGCTTGTTTTGAGCTGATGGTGCTCATCTCATAATGCAAAAACCCAAGTCCGGGAACAGATAAAAACACAAATGGGCACGTGGACCATCTAAAAAAAATAGCTTTTGATTGTAATTCACATCATCAAGTTTATGCAATCGTCCATCCTCTCCGAAGGTTACCAAACTCCTTGCTCCAAGATAAGATGGAAGACAAGAAACAACATCTACTGCCACTGGGTGACCCCCCTCCCCTCCCCCAAACCACAAGCAGAACCAACAAAGGATTAAACCCTCACTGTACTGACCCTTCACTGAACCCAATTTGTCATCTGCAGAAACCTTTTCATCTCTTCATTCAATCACAAGTGCTCCTTTTATCCTGCAGAGCGTTCCTATATTCATCACCTTTTTTTTCTTGATTGTCCATTCCATCCCACCAGCCAGAATTTATAGAGAAGGTCACCTTTTTTCTTCGATGAATGAGTTATGAGACTGAGTGCATTCTTGTTCATTTCTTTATCTGTCCCCAGTCTCTGAATTTTCATTATGAATTTTGTTCACGAGCTTGCCTGTGTTTTTTTTTTCTTAATTTTTTTCACTATTAGTGTTGATAGTACTCATATATAATTTCACATGGGTGCCAACTCTATATAAAAGAGTGGTGCAGATCGTTATCTTGGATCTTTTTTTATCTCCCTGCAATCTGAGCCACTTTTGTATGTGCCGAGCGAATGGAGGTCTCGAAATGTGCTCTCTCTATACTCTATTTCACCTTATGATGTACCGCAGGAAAGGCTACGAGTGCAAGCTCCTCTCTTTGGGGTAGATCTTGGCAGCACAAGCTCTCATGCATTAAGGAAAGCTGCCAACGTTATGAGATTGAGCTTCTAGCCTTCGCTGCGGTACAACATAAGGTGAAACGGAGTATACTACTTTCACGGCGTGAAGGAGTCGGAACAAGGTTTCCCAGACTAGAGAACCGAAATGACCAAGCTTTTTCTGCAAGCTGGAGAGGTGATGCGTGTTTAGTGGAGTTGACGTTTACCATAGGGATAATCTGTTCCCAGGATAATCTGTTCGCTGCATCCTTGCATTAATTGCATTATCATTATGGCTCATTTGGTTGACTGACCCCATTGGCTTGATTAGCTAAATGTTTAACTGTGAGCTCCATGGTTCGTCTGAAGCTCTTGAACTTGAAACTTGGCTTGTATCAGGTGAAAGTGTCACTTTATTGCAGTGCTAGCTTCTGAGCTGTTTATACTAGTAGATTCATTTGTCTCGTTTTGTTTCAGCCCTACATCAACAACCACCTGAAGCTTATCTTGTACTACCACACTGAAGACGAGTGAGTTATGTGCTCATTATATGGCTTTAGCTTGGACTTGAATGCTAATTATTTGACACTCAAGCACAGTAATCCCTCGTTATAACAAAGTCAATTGGTTGTCAAAAATATTTGATATGAACGGTAATTCGATAAAAGCGATAGAGCCAAAAAAAAGTCAGTGCCAGCAGCCTCGAAGATAGATGAGAACACTGCGGAACACTCGGACCTTATATTTAATCAAACAAACCTTGGTTATTAACATCCCGTGGCAATTTTACCGAGTAAAAAATATTATATAGAGTTTGCCGACAATTTCATCCGTGCGTCTGTTCTCGAACTGCTCCAGGCGTCGCAAGAACACTCTTCCCGCCGCTGCACTCCACTTTGTTGCGAAACAGCTGTAGGATGTTTCGCGTCTCCGCAGTCATCGGCATTTCCTGAGGTGCCTCTCCAGCATCGCTTCATGTTAACCCTGGCTGCACGCAAGGTGTATGATCGCAGCATCTGTGGCAGGAGCAACAGCGGGAACGTCAGCGTCGACAAGCGCAAACGAATCAAAGTTATCCTCAGTGACTTTGCCAACATGTTTTCACACACTCCTGTAAAGATTGTTGCAGCTATGGAAATTGTGCGCCGGCTCAGCATGCGTGCTCACGAGAGAAAATCCAACGTGCGCGAAGCATTTGGAGATCTTTCATCTTGGGGTTGCGGGCTCGCTTTCTCCTGCATGAGAAACTTCTCGAACCCGTCCAATATGCCTTGCTTGTTCCGCAAAATAGGGGACGGTGTCGAACAGCCGATGCTGGAATGTCGAACTCTTTAATGGTTTTGTACTTAGGCCGGCCACTTTTCTCAACCTCAAGCGACTTTCGGTAAACACTCCCAATCTCTCGTACGACGCACATGTGCATGTAATACGCTACAGGCGCGCGCGTCGGTGGCTCCTGTAGGGGTGTTCTCCTCCAGGCTCCATTGCTCCCTTGACCCGATTCTGAAAGGAGTCGGACAGCATCGCCCGCGGGCACTGTAGGTAGCATCGGATAGTGGACGCTGCTCCCTGCCCACGTCGGCGCATCAGTATCGGAAGCGGCGCTCTGCCAGCTCTGCGCGCTCTTTCCTCCATCACCCATTTACTCTGTTTTCTCAGTTTGCCATTTGCCTCGGTGGAGAAGGGGGAGGGAACGCAAAGGTCTCTCGTGCACCCTCCATGTAGGCTTGCATGCCTTCGGTGCCGCTGCCTTCGTAATAAGCGTGGCCGGCCGTTGATACACTTTGAATAATCCAGTTAAAAATGCTTTTTCGATGAAAGCAATAATTAAAAAAAAGAGATTTTGTTATAACGTGGGATTACTGTAGTTTTCATTAGTATGAGATTATGATGCGTTTGCTTTCTTTTCTTTCAGCAAAGACCATCGAGTTGTTGGTTTCGAAGTTGCCACAAAAAGGTTTGTTTTCTTTTTTTTGTTCCTGCTGTAATTTTTTATATTTTCACCCATTCCATTAAGGTCGGATCTAGTATTTGTTATTAACTTTTTGGTTTTATAAATTGGTACAAAAATAAGTTGGCTAATTAAGATTCATCTAGATGTAGCTTTACAGTTGGATATTAAAGCCCACTGTAGGATCTTTTCGAGAACTTTGTATGGCAAACATCGTATATAGAAACCAGTCTCGCCTCTCATAAAAATGAAAAAAAATATATTTTTGTTGAAAAGTGTTAGGCTGTTCATCTTGTCAAATTTGTTTGACAAGCCAGTAATTTTTATAGCTTCCCCTTGCCATATGGTGTTCAGTGTTATGTTTTCATATGTAAACTCGTACATTGTGTAACTTTGTTGTTTCCGAGCCTGTTTTAGTGCTGTCCATAACTTTGCATCGTACCAAATTTCGAATTCTCCTTTCACAGTGTGCACAGAGACTCGCTGAACTTCCTGAAGGGCGGGCTGTGCTCTTTCGACAACGGTGCCAAGAAACAGGAAGTCAATGAAAACGGTAAGAAGCTCATTTAAACAGACTCGTTAGACAACAGACGATCCATCGACAGGACAAGAGCGGCAGGGCGTCTCGTTCAGAAGCCTGACCTCTACCATGCGTTCATTGCCTTCCACCATGCTTTGACTGTGCATGCACCGTCAAGGTACACGAGACGCCAGAGCTGTGTCGAAGGCAGGAAGTTTGCACTGGATAAGGGACTGCTGAAGCTCTTCCCTGTCGTTCTTATCTCATCGGTGACTATGTGCCAAGAAACTGAGGAAGAGGAGCAGACAAAAGCACGCGGGGACGTCGGAGTGCCGAACTCTCGTTGGAACGATCGGTGGGTACACCTAAAGCCAACAGCCTTTGCTTCACTGCACTTGTCCGACTCGGAACACGTTTGGCTTTCGCATTCAAACGCGTTCGATGAGTGCAGTGGAGGCAAAGGCAGCCTTTAGGTCTGCCCACTGATCATTCGACCAGAGCTTGGCCTTCTCACATCCTCCGAGTGCCCTTGTCTCCTCCTCCGATGTGTCTGCACATAAAGTAGATGTCCTCATTTTCGGAGGAAATGTCTGATCAGAGGCTTTGCATCGTCGGTTTTTAGAGGTTTGGAACATTGGATTGCAGAGTCCAAAGGCCGGTTCACACATGTGCGTCGACTGGGACAAGCGTGTTGGGATTTCTCTTGATTACCGACACGCTGGTGCGCTTCTGATCTGTGTCTATATTTTTATAACTTTTTACGCATATGTAATTCTTTCTTTGTGGGCTTGAAAATAATTCTGGCAATGTTATAGGCGATAGGTCATCATATGCCCATTGCTGTTGGTGGGCACAATAAATAAACAAATAAATAAGTGACGATTTCTCGTAAATAGCGCGTCGATTTCATCTCGCAAATACTGGAAAACCTTCCCTCTAGTTATGCGCAGTTTGGAAGTGTGTGTGTGTGAACCAGCCTTAGAACTTTGATGCTCAGTTTGCAGAATTGGAATGACCTTTCAGTTTCAGTGTGTCCGCAGTGCTTGCGTTGTAGGAAGGTTGCTACTATTTACACTGTCAGGTCGCTAATAGGGGCCCTATCGGGCCGGTCTAGAGAATACCTTCTGATTCTGGAACGATTCTGTTGTAACTTTATTTGACGATGCAATAGACCATGAGCGAAATTGTTAGAACGTCTGGCAACACTCTGCGCACTGCCATCGTGGTTGCGTCAGGATTCCTCTGCTATTTGTTAGTTTCGTGGCGTTGTCGGTAACAATCGAGGCCTACTGCTCACCGTAATCGATGCTGACCCACACCTGTGAGCTAAGTTTTAGTGTTTTCTGCGCCCTTCTGCACACGTATACGTGCTTGCTGCCCCGCCGGTCGCTGGTTTCTTGCCGCAACCAACATGGCGGACGTACGCTTCTGCTCAAAATTCGGCTTTGAGTGCCGGCAAAGGCTGAAGTGTGGGCGCCTTGTTTTCGAAAGTGTTCTTTGTGCGAGTGATTGTGTGAGCAAAGGATTCTTCAGAACTACACTTTTGCACCCTGGCCTTTGCCAGTGCCAAAGCCAACTGGTGAGGTGGGGCGTATTCTTCGTTGCACCTCCAGATTGTGCTGTGCATTTTTAATATGATCTATCGAGGGGCATACATATGGGCAATTTTAAAATCTTAAGCCTGCACGATTTCTTAAGTAGTTGTGAAAAATGCGTTAAAGAAAGTAGTCTCTTTATGCCCCTTTCGTGTATAGGAGAACTAGCACTGTTACTTACCACGAAAGAGTTCATTTTAACAAAAGCATAAGACAGTTTAAACATACATTATTGACCCAGTGATCCCCCATCATTGTTTCAATGAAGTAAATATCAGGGAGGCGTTAAATCTTATTTCGTTGCCTTGACAAAAGTTACCACACTCCATGTTTGTAGGAAAAAAAAAAAATGATTTTAATTTTTCACATTTGATTTCCCCCAAAGCAAAGCCACAAAAAAGAAGCCACAAAACTTTGACCGATTGAGTCGACTGAATCGACAGTGCATTAAAGTGCATAACCTCAATAGCACATCACTGTACAGCATTTCATACATGTTACCGTAATATCTTATTAGTGGTGTTTTCTCTTGGTGTAACAATGTTAATTTCTTTTTTTAGCTACAGTGTTCCAGTGCTTATATATCTATTGCTATTTTTTTGTCACAATGTGACTCTCCCCCCATTATCCAACTCCCATATAAACCCTCGAGGAGAAATGTATACATTTGTGTCTCGTTAATATGGACACTCTCACTCACCCCAAAGTTGGCCATAACTTGTCTCATTCACATTAATTAACAAAATGAAAACTTTGTTACCGAAAATGTTGCCCATATAGCGGGATGTCCATGCCAACAAGGCGACGAGACAATGATGACGAATAAGTTGCGCCAATTCTCGTCCTCTTCTTTTTCGGCGATCCCCGACGCACGCCAGGCATCACGGACGTCTACTTCAGCTACGAGGTGGAGTGGCGCTCGAGTGCCATCCGGTGGGCCTCGCGTTGGGACACGTACCTCGCCATGACGGACGTGCAGATCCACTGGTTCTCCATCGTCAACTCCGTCATCGTCGTCTTCTTCCTCTCCGGTGAGTTCGTCTGGGGCTCTTCAATGCGTCGATAACGTTCAGGGGGTCGTCGGAATTGTTCGGACATTTTTTAATCGTGGACGTTGCAATAGAGGGTACCGGGCGGCGGTGAGGCACATCGCTAGAACGCACGGAAAAAGAAATAGACGGTGATTGTGGGTGATTGTAGTCACCGAGAGCTTAAGAAATGTAGGGCATACGGCTCGTTACGTTGATGACTCTTGCTTTGCAATTCATACTTTTTGGCTATCTCGTCGGTTAATGCTGCGGTCTCGTCGGCTGCGGTAATGAAACGCTCTGAACCCGCCAACCCCGTGTTTCTGTGGCTCGGTCATTCCTAGCAAAGACTAAACATTCAGGATCATGAAAAGTTAATTTGGCTACATTGACTTTGGCTTACTATATCTTATGTTGATCAGTAAGTAATTCATTTGTTATACACAGTTGAGCTCCCAGATGTTTATTTCTGTCGTTAACCAAAAATAAAGTAGAGCGTACTCTAGATCAAATGGAGCGATAGCTGTTCCACGTCTTTTTTTTGTTTTCTGCTTATCAGAATGCTTCTTTTTTTTTTTTTTTTTTGTAATATTAATATTTGCAATAGCATACATAAAACATATGGACTCAAATTTTGTGTCTATATTAGAAAATATTCTTGCAAGGGCTGCTTCTTTTGCGAAAGCTTCTCGAAATGTGCCACCTGATCTGTTCGGATTGTAATTAAACTGATTTTGAAGCGCAATATTATTTATTTGGGGGCATGTCCACTTTTTAATGAACAGTTTAGTATCTTTACACAAACCGAAAGATAAATTTATCACACAGAATGTATGCAGTAAAAACATTTTCCTCGTACCAAAACGTTAATTTTGTTGGGGGGGGGGGGTGGGGGGGGAGGGGGAGGTGAAGGTGAAGGTGAAGGTGGAGGTGGATGCAGGCAGCATGGGGGCTATTGGACCTTGCGTATCGTGCCTGTCATTAAAAAGTCTATTTGGCCAAGAAGTAGCATGATTATATCCAAAATACCATTCGGGAATTAAAAATGTTTTTTTTAGCCAGTGCGATTGACCCGTGCTGTGATTTACTTGCAACACAACTGATCGTTACGTGACTGACCTTTATACAGCCGTTGTATGACTGACCGTTACACGACTGGCAAATTGGGCAATTTTTATTTAAAAAAAAACACACTGTTCAAATTTATTATTTTTGACACCACAAGAACCCGTGTCTGTTTGGTCACTGTAAGTTATTTCTCACTGAGATATTACAAAAAATAGCACATATATAAGATCCGTTACACCACTGGCATATCAGAAAGGTATGCATTTATTTCTATTTTGGCCCACAGTGAATGGCTCTTGTTGTAAGACTTTCGTGAAAACATGTTAAACAGTCCGCATACTTACAAATTGAATATGGCTGGTAGCAGATTTTAAATAAATTTGTATATCTTGCGTTGTATTAGTACCATTCAGGTCGGTCACACTTGTTCCTTTTCAAAATTCGAAAAAAATTTAAATACTTAGCGACACTAGACACTGAGATCACATAAATTGGAGCTGATGTAGGTGTACGATTTCTTAGATCAAGCTTACAAAAGTTTACTTCGCTAAAACAAAAGTTCACGGCTTCTAAACTTGTGTGGTAGTTAGCAGATACAAAAGAAGTGCTGAAATTACACATAGGGTGCAATCTAAACTAATATTTTTCAAAAATAGTCTTAATTATGAGGACTTGCAAATATTTGTTTCTAGGACAGCCTGATGCTATATACTATAAAAACTATATTCTAGGAGTGATGGGAAGAAAGCGTTTGAAAATTACTTGACGGTCACATTAATGTTTAATTTTCGGGAGAATGACCCAGCTGTCAGGGAATGTGCAGGGCGCAAGTTTGTCTGCTACTTGCGCAGCGGTTGCAGTGATGTCAGAACGCAGAGCTCTGACTGGCTCTGATAGGAAGGATACTGGGTAAACCTCAATGCTAGCTGCCTTGAGGTCTACCCGTTATCCTTCCAATCAGAGCCAATCAGACATCGACGTTCTGATGTCACTGGAACCCCCTGCGCAAGAAGCAGACAAACTTGCGCTCTGCAAAAAGCACCTTCAAGAAACTGTAACTCAATGATACTTGAATCATGAGTACTAGTGCATCCATGGAAATGTGTCATGTTTTATTAATCAGGGCAACAATCAGCTTAGTGGGGATGTTTAGTCAGATTGTTATTGGTTTGGTATTAAAAAAAATATGTATACCGTAGAATACTGCGCACCTGCCCATTCTGCACTAAGTGCCCATTTTCATATTTCTGGGGTCTGAAAAAATATGCACAGTACATTTATATGTCAAATTAATGAGCGAACAAGTGCCCATCCCCCATTTTTTTTGCGGTTATCTCCAAATTTTGGATGGGCACTTGCCCAGTATTTTAAGGTATTAGGGGAAGTTGGAATTCACTCATTTAAGTGAGTTTATGTTGATGCGACTAATGATGACTGGAAATAACAGGTCTCAGCAAAAATCAAATCCATAGTAAAATCAGTTATTGTGGCACTGGCATGCAAGCTTGTGTTTTAACGTTTGTGAGCAGATTGAGTTTTATGACTTTCGCGTGGTCTCGGTGTAGAAGCAGCGAACGATGAGGAAGTGGAGGCAATTTTGGAGCACAGGGAAATGGAACTTTAGTTTTATGGTGAGTTGTACATCCTTAGTGTGTCTTGACACACTTTTTGTTTCTTTTTCAGGCATGTTGACCATGATTATTGTCCGGACGTTGCGCCGTGACATTGCACGCTACAACAAGGATGAGGAAGCGGTGAGTTTTGCCACAGTTCTTAATCTGGATGGAAACTATTTGATAACCTGAGATCAAATACAGGTTTGTTTAGTTCGGTGGCATTGAATGCAGGTTTGTTTAGTTCAGTGGCATTGAATTCATAGAAATCTGGTGTTCACTGTATTAACAGTTTTTAGCATGAACTTTGCAATTCAAATCTCTGCATTTCTATTTTCAGAATTAAGTAACCATCATCTGTCTGCTATAATGGACAGTAGTACGAAATGTAGTGTTGTTCTTAAAGGGGCCCTGCAAGGACTTTTTTACTGGTTTTTAAATTGCACCGAACCTGAGTTCACTGAACATAGTAACTTAACGAAACTTTTCGTTTCTTGAATTTTGCTTTATTTTAAAAGTTATAGGCAAATTAAAATTACAAAAACAAGCAAAAGATAGTTTCCTTCGTGACATCCTTGGTTGCTTGAGTGGCCGTGAACTAGAGGAGGGGTAGTGAGCTCAGCGAGCGCTCATGGCTGCCGCACTCTGTGTCGACGGCGCGAGAGGGCACCACTAAAGCATGTTCTGGATAGGCTGTATGCAGCAAGCACCCAGAACGCTCTCATTGCATTTGCTGCACAATTAAACACTAATTCGGCATGACACTTCATTGGCAACAAATGACAGCAAACACGGGGTAAAGATCAGTTCAGAACGGGAGCCACTTCGCGCTGCCATGCTGCACAGCAAGCCAAAGCTGCTCGCCGAAGGGCTTCGAAACGCTCGGACCCGGTCGGATCCTCGACTGCAGCGCCGCCGCGTACATCTGGGGCCTTTCCGTGTCGGCGCCTAATCCCACTACTCCTTTCTAGTATGCGCCGCCTTTTCCACCGCTTGGTGGCGGGTATGTCGATGGGTCATTTCTTGTTTCCGTACTTAATAATCTGCATTTGTTTCTTTTCTGATCTAAGATACTGAACAAATGCTACTTTTATAAATAATTGAAACGGTTTGCGCCACTTATATTTTGTATTTCGACTAAAAAGAAGCTCTTAGCGGCTCTGACCAGTAGTAAGCCCAGGACCAAAGACGTCGCCTATCACGCGCTTTCGGTACCGCGGGTCGCCCCCGTCAGTGGAGGAGGTTTCCGCATCGTCCGGTTAAAATATGACGCACTGATATTTAGTTACTCTCTCCGTTCCCGCTGGCTTGCCCGAATTCCAAGAGACGTGGAAACCGCAAAAAAGGTAGACGCTTAAATATGATTGCAGGGCCCCTTTAATGTCTTTGGTATAGTTTAAAGACCTTTAGGTATTGTACATTTTAATCCTCTGCATTTAGCTCAAGTGCCTGAATATTAGTGTTAAACGTTTGAAATTACACTGATAGTGATGTGCATTTGTTTTATGTTGTATGTTAATGTAGTGTCTATGAAGGGTTTATTAATTTTGTCTATAAGTGTGTACATGTTTATTTTTTGCATCTTCATCTTTGTGTATGATATTGCTCTTCAAGCTTTGTAATGTTCCCTCATACAATGCATACACATGGGCATTTTGGGGCTTTTTTTTAAATAAATTAATAACATGTCAGGTTTTTTTTGTGACTAAGTTTAGTCATATTGTAACAATATTTAGATAGAGAATTCCCTGAAGGGGTGAGGTTCACATGAGAGGATCACAGAAAGGTTGACATAAACGACACTCGGAGCTAATAAATACCGAACAGGAAAGGAATTGATATGACTTCGGAACAACCGTTATCTAAGAACTAGACTTGGATACACTATTCCCAACTACTTTGGAGTAATGGATCATTGCCTGCTATAAAACACCAATTAAGTGCCGACCTGAAATTGTGAGACAGTTATGGCGATACTATATGGGGGCGAGCACTTGCTTGCCCCCAAATCTTTACGCCTGCCAAGGAAAGCACAGTTTAACAGTATTAGGGGCGAAGCTCCTTAGGGTCTAGCCTTGTCCGGTGTCCGTGCTCACATCGATTGCCATCCCATCTGTCTTCTTGAAAAAAGAACAAATGTTAGCGCAGTCGACAGGATTCGAACCTGTGCGGGGAGACCCCAATGGATTTCTAGTCCATCGCCTTAACCACTTGGCCACGACTGCGGGACGAGTAGGGGGCTCGGAGATGTGGTAGTAACTTGAGAGCTGGGGACGTCATGGATGAAACGTTGCATGTAGCCGCTCAACGTCTATACAGGAGAGGGCGCTGCAGTCAAATGTGTACATAATCTGTTAAACTTTGCATGCATTGGCTCAACATTTATTGACAAGAGGGCGCTGCGGTCAAATGCTCAAATGCGTATATAACCACGTTCGATACCAGACATTCTCTTTCTGAAATGGATGAAAACGAGCGAAAGGCTCGGCATGCTGCGGCTCAGCGTCTACGCACCACCAGAGCTTCGCCCCAATCAACATCATTCACCACGTGGAGATGCGGTCATTTTTTTTTGCTGTAATGCAACTAGTTCACCAAACTGAAAGATGTGACTTTTTTTTTTGCCTCGCCGCATGTTATCCTTAAAATCCTTTATTGCAACAATCTTTCTTCTGTACACTGTGTGTCACAGGAGGATGTGATGGAAGAAACGGGGTGGAAGCTGGTTCATGGAGATGTGTTCAGACCTCCCCAGTACCCCAAGCTCTTTGTGGCCGTGGTTGGAAGCGGCATCCAGATCTTCTTCATGATGTTCATCACCATCTGTGAGCGCTCGCCCATCTTGATCTGGGTCACGAGGAACTTTTTGTTGAAACTTCAATTCGCTTTTCAATGCTACCATAAAATACTGAGCCCGTGCAAATGTTGGAGATGATCACAAGAAAATGGGGATGGGCACTTGTTAGCTCTGAGAGCAAAGAGGCACATGGTAGAGGAGCACTACAGGGGTCTGACAGAAGCCCTCATTTTTAAGGCAGCATCAAGCTTTATGTGTTTGCACTGGCGCATGCATGTAAAGCTTTACCGCTTTGCACTGGCTTCTTGGGGAAACAGCTGGCACAGAGGGGTAGCTTGGCTAGATTTGAGGGCTTGAAGTTTACTGGGGATGGTGCTTGATATGTCCTTTGCTCGTGTTTCAAATGATTCAAGAGTAGGGGGTAGGCACTTATTGCAACATCGACACATGCTCGGTATGTTATGGCATTGTGCGTGTTCATTTTTTATGTTTAAAGAAGTGTTTAAAGTTTCTAACTTTGTTGCATTCGTTTAATATTGCTACTTGACAAGTGTATCAATGGCAAGGCCATGGCCATTATTGGCAGCTTAAATAAACCTGTACAAATACAGGTATGCACAATCTCACAAGTTGTATGCGGCACAGCCAAAGGTTGAATCACGAGACCTCAGCTTTGTTGATTACTGTAGAATACTGCGCGTCTGCCCATTCCACATTAAGCGCCCACACCCAAATTTGTAAGATCTGAGGAAATATGCGCAGTACACTTATATGTAAAACTGATGATTGGACAAGCGCCCATCCCCTATTTTTTCGCAATGATCTCTAAATTTTGAGTGGACGCTTGCCCGGTATTTTACGGTATATCATTTGCACGAGCACACGCGTGCCTGACGCTTCTACAAAACCTCACAAAACATTTAAGATGCTGCATAATTTTTGTTTGTTTGTTATGCGAGTTCAGTTTATACTTGGAAGCATGTTGGATAATATTTTCATGCCATTTTGCTTGTGTTTGTAGTATTTTAGTATTTTTTTTCATTTGTTTGTTTAATAGTAGTCTTTACCACAATTCATTTGAAATCTTTGGGGTTTAAATCTAACATTTGATCTTGCCTTTTCTTCCTGCCCCCTACATCATGAGTGTAAGATAACGAATTACTGGATTCATTGATTGCATTGCTACACACCGGTTAATCTTTACATGCTGTCTTCTGTGCTCGTTGCAGTTTTTGCCATGCTTGGAATGCTGTCACCAGCATCCAGAGGAGCCCTCATGACTGCCGCCATCTTCCTTTACGTCTTTATGGGGCAAGTTTTTTTTTTGTTATAGTTATGCCATTGACTCGTAACCAGAACATAGTGGTGATGTTTGCGTGCCTTGTTTTAGTTTGCAATACAGTATAGACCACTTACAACGTAACCGCTTATAGTGCAGGACCGGGTATAACGCGGCTTTTTTAAACCACCGGTTTGCCTCCCATAGAACTCCATGTAATTACATACCGCTTAAAATGCAGGCGCGCGAAGGGAAATACCGGTTATGGTGCGGTTTCTGGAACAGCGCGCTGACGGCGCCGACACACCAGCAAGCGAGCACGCTTCCCTGTGCGATAGTAGATATTGGCGCTAGCCGCAAGCGGCACTCGCGGGGCAAGGAGGTTGCTTGAAGGAGCGGGGAGGAGCGGAGAGAGGCTTCAGTTGCTATAGCAACGGAGGGATGCACGCACTCGTCGTTCACGTGCGTGCGTCACTCCACTGCGTTGGAAAACAACCACAACGACAGACCAATCGCAGGTCGAGGAGAACTGTTCGCGCGCGTTGCATGCCAGTCGCGGGACGGCTTCTTCTATCCGCAAACATGGCGTCGGTTGTGATCGTCGACTCCGCGTAAAAGCGCTATCCTTGACTGTGAATTTTCGTTGTGTGTCGCTATGATAACCGAGCACGTGCTAGAAAGGAAGATCCACCTACTCGTGCGGCGATGTCATGGCGGCACTCTCAAGACGGCAGAAACGCCCGTGTCGTCGTGCTTGTTTACTTCGACTACAGTGGTACTTTCTAAGCATTTGTGTTTTCCAACATCGCCCGGATTTCTTATTTGGAGCATTTCATGCCTGTGCTAAAGTTGAAGGTATTACTGGCGCGTACCGTATAAAGGATGCGAATTGTCACGCGTTTTCATCACCGGAGAAATGTGATTAGGATTAGCAATCCTGAACGCTCGCAACGTCCGTCCGCAAATTCGCGACGCCGTTAAAAGGCTGCGCCAGGCAAAAGTCGCTCATTTTTTCAAAATGTGTGACACACTTGAGAGAAGTGTGTCACACACTTGGTGAAATAAAGACTTTCCTCAAACTAAGCTTTATTTTTCATCTAACATAAAATAAATTCTTTTACAAAGTTAAGTTGTCTCATGGCATGTATTTTGGCCTGAAAAGTTGATGTTTTGGTTATAACGCGGTACCGCTTATAGTGCGGATTTTCGCGACTCCTGCGACATACGTTATATGCGGTCTACACTGTATCTAGCCCTAACCTAATGATAATCTGTTTGGCTTCTTTATCTAGGCTTTTTGCCGGATACTTCTCAGCACGGCTGTACAAGACATTGCGTGGCGTGCAGTGGAGGAAAGCTGCCTTTCTGGTGAGTGATCTGGGGCTACTCTAGAAATGACGAGCAACACATTTGATAGTGGTTGACCTGCATCAATTCGAAACACTACATTATTAGGCTGGGTTACAAATGACTGATTGTGACATGCAGAAGCTCAACGAGTTTGTCTAGTGTTCCCAGCTTCTTGGTGTGTCAGTGCACATCCCTGACCAAGCAGAGTAAAATCTTATCTTGGTCAGTAGGTACCACAAAATCCCGAGCTAGTGCCCACTCAAAATTTGGAGATAGTCATGTAAAACGGGATAGGTGCTCCTTAGGTCAACAATATGTAAAGATATGTCCTTTGTATATTTCCCGAATGTTACAAAATTGAGGGGTGGGCACTTATTGTCGAATGGGCAGATGCTCGGTATTTTACGGTAGTCACTCTATGGCTTTCATTGTTTTGACTGTGTTTTAGTGCTTTACAAAAAGCTAAAACTAGTTTTTCTCCCTTCTTTTTTGTTTTACTGTCGGCAAGGTTTTGCTTTGCCGACATACCTACTCCAAAAGATTTCCTGTTGGTCTCTGAAGGATATAAGAAATATGCACAAGTGACTTTTTTACTGGGTAATTATTTCAAACCTTTCTTATGTAATCTTCTGTTGCTGTTCTCATTATCATCCAGACGTCATTCCTGTACCCAGCCGTCGTGTTTGGTACCTGCTTCTTCCTCAACTTCTTCATCTGGGGAAAACATTCCTCAGGAGCGGTGAGTTCTCGTCCCCGAATCTGCAAGTTCTAGAGTTGAGGTTAACAAACTACATATTATTGAGGAATTCCTGGCTACTTTTAAGTACATCGAGGGAACCTTCTTTCCTCAACATATTTATGCAGTTATACTTATCAGGAGCTTCTTAATTTTGTGTCTGCTGATTTGCTTATACTGATGACTCAAACTGATGGCTTCAGCTCTGTATTAACTGAAGAAGCACTTAACTTTGGAATATGGACTCTAGAGTAAATTTAGGTGGTTGAATGGGTTCCCAAATTCCCTGGTGGCTCCTCAGAAATCCACAAATTCCCTGAAGATTCCCCAGATATTCAAACATTTCCTGGATTTTTCTAAATTTCCTGGGAGTTTCCCAGTTCCCCCAATTTTCGGGGGTTCCCTAATTTTTTCTAGCAGCTCCTAAATTTTTAGAAGTTCGAAACATTCCCTTGAGATTCCCTAGGAATTTCCTAGGTGTACTCTGACACCTCGCCAGTGGGTTCTGGGGACCTCTGGGATCCCAAGAACCCAGTTTGAGAGACCAAGGCATGGTCTAAGGGACATCTAGGGGCCCAGAGTATATGCTTACACTGTGCTGCATTCCTGACATGGCGGGTTTGTTCTTGCTGCCGCAGGTTCCATTTGCCACGATGGTGGCTCTGCTGTGCCTCTGGTTTGGCATCTCAGTACCGCTAGTGTTCCTCGGGTACTTTTTTGGGTACCGCAAGAAGCCCTATGAGCACCCCGTGCGTACCAACCAGATCCCGAGGCAGGTGCCAGAGCAGGTCTGGTACATGAACCCCATGCTATGGTGAGTGGCGCTTGGTGCATGTTTTACGGGCTACATGCAAAGCTGTTATTCACTCGTCTGCTTCACCGAGCATAATTTTTTCAGAAAGTTTGTTTTGCTTTGTTCACTTTGAGATAGGGTATGAAAGTGGGGCTAGTGCAAAAGTCTAAGAAGCCTGACGAGGCAGTGGTTCCTTACAGTTCACACAAATATTTACATAAATGGGTGGAAGAAATGCATTCACTGGAAAGTTACAAACTTGTATCAAACATAGAAATCGGCATCTTCCCGATGACATAGAAATACATAAATGACAAGAGAACAAACAATGCAAAATATGCAATATACAGGAAGGATTGAATATATGAACGTAAATGGATAACACAAAACCCCTAACAGCATCAAGAACAAAAACTTCAAAAATTTAATTTAAGAATACAATGTTGGTCACATTTTATTGAAATTTTATATTGCTGCCTACCAGTAGTGTTACATCCAGGTAGCTAATTCCCGCTTTTACGATTTCAACTCAACAATAAGAATGCTTATTTCTGTTTGGGGAGGCTCCATTTTGGTCGGAGCTAGAAAGTAAATGGGAGTTACAGCTGCTGTTGCGCATGTTTTGGGATCTATGCAGCGAAGGCTTGAAGGGCGAGATCCTTGCTTTTGAAAGCGCTTTGGCTGCACGAGCGCTCGAGCAGTGGGTGCTCCAACCAAAGCTGCTCACTTGTACACATAGCCTTTGCTGCAATTCAAGTTGTAGTGAGACGGTAGTTTGAATGGCTTTGGTTTTACTGCCCAAGGCCACTGTGGGCTAACTGCTTTTTTACATCTGGTTTTAGCACTCTGATGGCAGGGATCCTTCCTTTTGGAGCCATGTTCATAGAGCTGTTCTTCATTTTTACCGTGAGTGACTTTTCGATCATGCTTCCTGTTGATTGCCTGCTTGCTTGTCTACTGGTTAACTATACAAGGTCTTTGCGAAACAACTTGCAGTGGTGGAACTGCTGTACCATTTGCGCCAACTTGTGCCGTGAACAAAGGTCTCCTACATCTTGCGACAAAATGCCGGTTTTGCTAAGAATAGCTCCATACCTGCACAGAGATGGGCTTAAAGCTAATTAATATTTTATTATTGGTCGACCCTAACAGTCAGAAAAGTAGAAGAAAAAAAAAAACATTTACAAATGTGAATTTCATGGCATTTCTACTCATTGTATGGTTTGTTCATCTTAAGGCAGTGCACAGGCGAAGGCTTAAACACAAACAACCACAAACACATATACTAAAAGCGCAAGTCACAAGACATTCGCTGCACTTGATTGGTTTAGCGAATGAAAGAACATGTACAAGGATATGACAAATGCTATGATGTCGCGCTTTGATGCTGTGAACCAGCGGGCCAGAGCCGTTGATGCTGGGCATCAACCGCCTTGGCGGGTTGATGCATTGGCTGGTTGATCGCCGACATCGTCTAAATTTCCATATGATGTCGTCGATATCAGGAACTAACAGTCCCGAGAAAACTTTGTAAAATAGTAGGATTGCCGATTGCGGTTACCATGATAAGACAGAACCAGGGTCTTGTACCCCAGGTGCAAATCAGTCCACTTCCAGCTGGATTATGGAGCTGGAAATGAGGCAGTCCAGCTGAATTCCGACTGGGTCCAGCTGGATTCCAGCTGGGTCCAGCTGGAATCCAGCTGGGTCCAGCTGGAATCCAGCTGGACTGCCTCATTTCCAGTTCCATAATCCGGCTGGAAGCGGACTGATTTTCTCCTGGGACTCCTGATAAGATCACTCGATTTTCGTGTTTGCCACATGCCTTCATTCCGTGGCCACAGAGTATCGTGGCATTTGTGCCACTTGCGGAAACCGTCACCACCTCTCACCAGCGTGCATGTGTCAAGCTTCACCGTTTTGCACCAGAGTACTAAGTGCAGTGACTGACCTGGGGGAGTGCTTAAAGGGCGATAGTCATGCAAATTATGCTCAGGGTTATTACAGGTCGAACTTCTTTGTCCTAATTGTGCATTAATCTCTACTTAAAAAAAAAGGAGCAGAGAGAGAAGAGGACAAATGGATAAATATGATAGTCACGGTACTTCCCATGCAGCTGTTGATCGAAAGAGCTGAGAGCTTTGACGTAACTCTGGTTCCTACGCTGCTAAGGAGCAGTCTTACCTTAAAAGTGCAAGTGTAGGCTTTTATAATATTTTGGGTGGTTGTTTTTGCAGTTGATGATAGAGGCTCGAGATTAGTAGGTTCATTAAACTTAAGGGACACATTTTTATTGGCAGACGTGTTAGCGGATATGCTGGTCCTTACTGGCATTTTACAGAAATTATATTTACTGGCTAAACAAACTACTGAGTGTAAAATGGAGAGGGGGTGAGGATTTATCCCACTAAAGTGTTGTACTGTGACTCTTTTTTCAACCATTTTTTAATACCCATTGTAAATGAAACCTACTCTGTCTAGAGCCTTATTTAAGAAGACTGTGTTCCTTCTATGTCCTATCTATTCTTATCACAAACGGTACTAAGTAATATGCTCGAGTATCAAAAGAGGAACTCTTGATCGCTATTATAAATGAACTCATTGAGATGCAATCGCTTTTTCATTCTCAAGTGATGTGTTAACAGATGTTGGCGTCTGCTCCAAAAGCGTCGGTGGTTGCTTCAAACCAATCTTTTGCCTGCTACAGAACCTGTCGCAAATGGTCAAATGTCGCTTCCATCATTGAATTTGTAAACAATATGTTTGCCGAAAGGTGCCTTACATTTATGATGGATTGAATACAATAGAACAAGTCTAAAAGGAACCTGCACTGACCTTCTAAATTGGCTTCCTTCATCAGGGGTTCCTCCTGCATTTGAAACCATACTGAAAATGAGCTATAGTGGACAGAATCTGTTCTGTTATCGAGGAGCTTATTTAAAGTGGTTTGCTATTAAGGGTCTTCTGAGGGCATCTCTGTGAATTACTGCACACTTCATAGTTCAGGCAGATGCATGTGGGTTTAGCCTTGAAGAGCGGCGAATGAAGCTGTGATATACCATTCATGGCTGCAAACACCAAGCAGGAAGCATTTCTTTTTACCAGCTTTATTTGTACATACATGAAACCTTGATTTTCCTTGCATGAAGTTTGACTTAACTTTTGTTTGCTGCACTGGAACCATACTGGCTCTTTGCTGTATCATAAGATCTATAACCATTCATTTAATTAATCACTGAAAGGTAACCAGATTCATGTGGCGTGAAAGGCAGCCCCATGCTGAAGGTGGGTTTGGACGGGAAAAGGACATTTCTGAAGTTTGCCGCAGGCACAGGCTTTGCAGCTAAAAATTCAGAAAGGATGAAATAGTTTACATAAGGTAATAATGCAAAGCACAGTTACCCCAAGTTGATTACCAATTTTTGTAAATTTTTTTCAAATCATTGCCTTGATATGTTTGATATGGTGCGGCATAAGCTTGTTTGTTCCAGTGAATGTTTGTTAATTGGACCTCGACAGTACCTTGAAATTGGGACGCATTTTCAGAACATTTAATTCAAAGAGGACAGTAATACAATCGAAGTCAAGCTCACTTTTATTGCTCAAAGCAGTCTGCAATAATTTGTTGCTTTTGCGGTTAGTGTGCATATCTGACAGCATATACCAAAAAAACACCAATAGTTCTTGCAAAAAAGAAAAAAAAAAAAGGAAAAACATACATGCACGTTGCTCTGAGCTCGTTTCCGACGATCAAACTTTTCAACATCAGTTTCAACCTCACTATGAGGTTAAAACTGATGCTTCAACCTCATAATGAGGTTGAAACATCGTAGTATCTAATTTGCCTAAGATATCTAATTGCTACATGTGATTTATATTTACATAGGTCCAATGCAAAAGTTAATAATTACCTAGAAACTGATCATTATAATCAGTATGTGCTATTGTTATGAGTGGATTGCATTGCATACATCAAATTTCACTTGATATTTGTTGACAGAATGTCACATTCTGATGTCATGCTGCTTGTTCCTTGTGTTGCAGGCTTTATGGGAGAACCAGTTCTACTACCTGTTTGGGTTCCTGTTCCTCGTCTTCATCATCCTGATCATCTCCTGTTCCCAGATCTCCATAGTCATGGTCTATTTCCAATTGTGTGGGGAAGTAAGGACCTTTTTCACCCTTGGAACCTTACCAGTAACCCTGCCTTTCATTGGTTCAGTTCGTGACCCATCCAATTTATGCATCAATCAGTCTCCCAATCAGCTTGATGATAGGTTACTTAATCACCTGATCAAAGAATAGGAACATGGGGAGGTGAAGTGTCTCAGTGAAATGTCGGCAGTCTGTCTTGGGTTTCCCAGGAGGTTTCATGGTCACTGCAAGGTTGGGAGGGAGAGGAGGGCGGCCCTTCAGTCTTTCAGCACAAGCTTCCTACCTTTGATAATGCTTTGTCTCCAGAGCTTCGAGCAAGTATGCGATGCCGAGACGAAAAGCATTGAGCACATTCCCTTTCTTGTGTGTATAATTTTTCGCACTTTCTAAAACAAATTTATAGAATGTGAACCGTGAGACATTTTAGATGCCATGTTTGTTGTGTACTACTAGAAAACAGTGAGTTAGGTATTCTGTCATTTGGGTGGCATGGTACCTTTAGCACTGCCCTTCCGACATCGTGATGACTTATGAAATTATTTGTTTCATGTTGTATAAAGACCTATTTTAAAGTGTATTTTAGGCTTAGGAAGGCCAAAGTTAAGCATGTGGTGGCACAGAGGACTTTTAACTGACTGGAATCCTAAAACGAATGTCACTGATGCATTTTTTTCACTTGCCTGTGTCCTGTTTCAGAACTATCACTGGTGGTGGCGATCTCTAGTTGTTTCCGGAGGCTCTGCCCTTTATGTGTTTGCTTATGCTGTGTTCTACTTTATCACAAAGGTAATGTGATCATTTTTTAGCTGTATTTCCTTTTTGGAGCCTGGAGTGCCATTACTATGTCTCAATTCTAGGTCTTATGGTGTTTCCTTCTGTTAACTGCAGTGCACTGCAAAGTGTAGCACCTTCAATTCAGAAGGACAAACATCCTATTTATGGGCCAAATTACCCTCATGTCGTACTAATACCTTTCAGGTAGCGATGACTCAGTATTTATAGGCAACCAATCCCCTTTCACATCTTCACATTTTAGCTTTAGATGCTGCGAAACTTCGGTACGGTCACAAATGTAAAACTGTACCTACCGTATAAACGTGTGTAAGGGCCGCACCTTTCCTTTTTCGAATTTCGTGGTCTATTTCTTTAGGTGCAGCCCATACATGGATAAAAACCAAATGGTTTTGAATGTGCGTCAAAAAACGGAGGTGCATACGGCGCTCGTGTCTGACTGGCGTCAACGGTAGCTAGAGTGCTCTTTCGAGCCGTCCGGCAAGCACCTTTTTGGGGTTTGCGGTGCCCATTTATTCCGTAGGATTCTGCCTCAATGCCGACGTTGAGTGGCGGTTGCATACCCGTTAGCCCGCCCCGCACCACACACTTTTTTTCAGCACTCTAGACAGATCTCATCGACAGCGTATTTGCAGCCCATTGCATGTCTGCTGCCCTCCAGGGCACAAGTGACAGTTCGAAAGTACTTGCCCACTGCTCTCGTGTTGCAGACCCTGCAAAAAACCAAGCGGAACCAACTTGGCAGAACAAAACATCCACGAAGCCTAACGGCGACATTTGGAAACCCAAATGCCCGATTTTCGAGGCGGCTTTTGTCACATGGGTGGTAGGCGACCGTGGATGATATGAAAACCATAAAAAGAACAGCTTTCCGAAGCTTTACTCCAGTAATCTTTCTTATCTGCGGTTCAGAACACGGCGAAAAGCGGGAGCAGAGGCATGAACATGATGGGGTAAAGATAACGGAGACGTGGAGCATGTGCCGCTCTGCGGAGGCAGTCGGCACACTTCAAAACAAGCAACTAATGTGGAAATACATTTTTTTAATATACTTGGGTTCAAATATGTGGGTACAGCTAATTAAAAATGATAAGGTATGCTCACATGTTATGTTTTGGCAGTGAGCTATCACAATTTTATGTGACCAAGGCATGAAGCTGCAAACACAGGTACAATTGTCTATCTGTGGCCACATTAAAAATTCCCCATACTTGGTGACGAGAGCTGTGAAAGAAGGGAGAGAAAGGCTTTGTCAGTCACCAGTCGTCTCTCTCCTCTGTTTGTGCTTTGAATTGGTCGGAATATTCACTCATTGTTTAGGATATCGCACCACAATTTGCTATGTAGGCAGGAACTGTTATCTAATCTAAAACTTTGCGGAAAAGTAATACTGGTAGGTGAAAGAAGATTTATTGGTTAAAGTATTTGTCAGTCTTAGCGTTTTTTGTCAAACTTTAATGACTGTAACGAATTCATCACTGTCATTAAAGACTGAATTAGTCATTTCAAGAATTCATAGATGTAGTATTTCTAACTTTATTTATTCGCTGAAAAATTAGAACTTGCCAACACTTCACCTTGAGTTGTTGATTCACTGGCCTGTCTACATTATTATGCATTAGCATAAATATATTGCAAATGAAATCGATATGAAACTCTATTCAGTTGATACTCAGTCTCGCATTGCAGCTTCCCTTCTACTCCATTCCTCCCTAAGCTGACAGTGAAATGAAAGCTGCGCTCCTGCTGGACCGCCCAGCCACCTCCCTTACCTCACCTGACCTCGCTTGCTGCGCGTGAGTCGGGTGGGATCACTTGGCAAAAGATGGTTATCCAGCTTTTCAAACGCACATGTAGCTGCTACCGTACTGTCTGCTTGGGAGTATGCAAAATATAGATATTTGGGAGGATTTTGTTTTCATTGTTCTCTGTCAACTCATGTGAAACAATATCATACAGTCAACCTAAGAAACAAAAAAAAAAAGTGTCACTCTTCTTTTTATTGCAGCTGGAAATTACGGAGTTTATTCCCACACTGCTGTACTTTGGATACACCTTAGTCATGGTTCTCACTTTCTGGCTGCTCACCGGAACCATAGGATTCTACGCCGCCTACTTCTTCCTCTGCAAGATCTACGCTGCTGTCAAGATAGACTGAGCCGCAGAACTACCTTTTTACGCGGGCTTCTCGTTTCAAGGCTGTGCTCGAGACGTGAAAAGAAGGCGGAACCTCAAGATGTCGGGATCTCTCGTGAGGGTGTGAAAGAGTAAAGGAAGATGGAATGAGAAAGGAAAATAGCAACCAGCATCTACCAAAAGATTTCCGGTGTAAGAGGACTGGACACGTCTTCAGTGTCGCGAGCTAATCTTTTCTGATGTCTGTTTTTTTTAATGTTTTTTCTGTTCTTTCATTCGCGCGTTTGAAGAGTAATTTATACGTTGTACATACCGTTTTTATGTGGTTCCGCACGAACCAAGCTGCTATTTCACTGTGACACCTTTTTGCCCCTTGTGAATGGTGGGACCGCCACACTTGCACATTTTGGTGTCCTCGTTCCTTGTATGTTTTGTGCAATAGTAGCAGGTTTGACCAACTCTAATGCATTTTCATGTCTTAGAAATGACATGTTTGAGGCTGAATATCTTGAAAATGCAATTCATTTTGGGTCAAACTCCTGTATTATATATGTAGCGAGTTTGGTGAAACAAGTGGCATGTGTTGCACATTTTATTGGTGTTTTCCATTGCCGAGCACTGTTCTCTTTCATACTACAGAACACATCTTTCCGGTGAATGTTCTCAAACATTCAGCGTCTAAGCCCAGGTGTTGCCATTTTTTCTTGAGCTTTTTTTTGTAAAAAATGTATGGAAGTACATCGATGATAGTTTACAAAATGCTGGGAAGGTGTTAATATGGCAAAAAGAGAAAAAATTGTTTTAAATATGTAAATTTAATTTTTTGGTTCCAATTGAGACCTTTCACTATTTAGTCGTAGCATTGCAAATTCTAGTTAGCGTATTTCTGTATGTGAAGTGGTGTGGAAGAAAATTCCAAGAAGATTTTGTCCAGTTAAAAGTGTCTGCCACTTTTTGCAACTTTGACAGCTCTCTTCATGTAGCATTGCACCCACATCAGCCATATGATCGGTGGCAAATAAATGCCTCGACATTAAGAGCAAAGATAAATAACAATGATCGACACTTTGCTGTATAGATTTGAGTGATATTGTATCTTGCTGAATGCAGAACGAGCTCTATGATAATAAACTTAATTATTTTCGTACCAGTCATCGTGGGTTCTCGATTTTCACATGCGAAGCTCGGAGGTTATGTGTTTGATCCTATACTCCGTTCACCCGTAAGCTGAAACTAGAAGCTCCGCCTTCAGCGCAAGCTTTTTGCCCTTGCTGAAACGAATGTGGATGCGCAGGCACGCGCAACCAAAGCACTTCAGAAGCCAGCAAGCTCGCACTGATCACTGATGGCCTTGGATACGGATTTGTTTCATATAAATTTTTATGGTTAATGGTTTATCGTAGATGGATGGCATTATGGAATTTATATAGAGTAAACCGCACATGCTACGCCGCGTCTCTGACCACCGAAATGTCCTTGTCCAGGCATTGATACGCAGGTACGCTTACTCTACCACCTACCGACCGTACCAAAACCTCACCCAGACCGAACACGAACGTATGTTGCCCTACTACAAAAGGCGTAGAAGCTGGCGCTCGGCCTGCGTTTCCAAAGCCACCGTTTGCCTAGACAGGCTGGTGTGACAAGCAAAATGGAGGAACTCTTGGAAAAAATGCATCAGGCTGCCCATTTGACGCGCTTGTGCTGCACGACACGGGGGCAGACTCCCCTTGCCACTCTTGATCTCCCACCCTGTCCCGCTTCCATCACCTCTGCAAGTCTGTCCGCCGCTTTTCATTTTCAATACACAATATAGAATCGCCTAACACAATATTTTTGGGGGTGTTTCCTAAGTGACACTTCAACGAAATTTAAAATATACCCGTCGTGTCCAGAAATGGGCTCAATATGATCCACAATATTCGTAAAGGACAATCGCACGTTTGCATTTTGAGCCTGATGGCTGTATTTTTTGTTATAAACGGCCCACTCTGGCAAGCGCTGGGAGAGTATGTGACATCCGCCGTAATCGACGTAGATTGTCTCGAGACGAGCAAAGCTGAGGCGAGATGTCCTAGCCGTTCCGGAGCGGCCGAAGCACGCCAGCGATCGGACCACCGCAACTAACCCAAAAGCTGCTTTTCTACGAATTTTGAGTGACGGGTTAATCTATAATATTGTAGAGTGACAATAGCGACGTCTGGGACACACAAAAGAGAGCCTCAGAGAGAACGGAGTTCCTCCTACCCCTCTTCTCTGGTGATGGCCGAAGGCGAGACAGTTATCGTCACTACCTGTCAAGGTTCCTAGTTAGGCATTACAAACGAGGCGTTAGTGACATCCGCAGGCGCTCTTTGCTAGTCGTTTAATTCGTTTCAAAATTCCTTTTCGTGTCTTTTTCAACAAGAGTTAGGTGTCTCTGATGTGATACTGCTCCCTTGAACACGAATAGACCCAGAAATAGGCGCCGAAATTTCGTCGTAGTATCCCTTTAAAGCGACACTGACACCGCCCAAGATATTGATTTTTATTTTTTGTCAGGCGATTCATAATGGTGCCAGAAGACTACCCAATCATTGTTTTGCTACAACAACACGTAAATTAAAAAAAAAAAAAGAACACGCAGCTGATCGAAACCGAAATTGAAACTGGAGAGGAAGAAGAAATCTAGAGAGAGTTGGCGGAAGCGGAAGTCACGCGGCTGTGCAACTTTTAAATAAACGTATTTTGTAACTTTTTAGACGTCACAGAAAATTGGTATCATATTTTTTTACTGCTTTGATATTGAGTGTGTGCCTTTGATGACATGCGACTGATTATACTTGGTGGTTGTTTCTAAACCTTAGAAAACGCCCCGTGACCTCGGAGAAGAGCGAGCGCGACTCAAACCGGCCAGTTCTCGCGGTTTTCGGGCAGAAAGAAAACGAATTTCGAGCTGCAAATTGTGTCTGGGTAGTTGGGCTATCATATGTTACGTATAAATGAAACCTTGTCGAAGACAAATACCCTGTCGGTGTCCCTTTAAAGGGATACTTCAACGAAATTTGAAATATATATCGGTCGTGTTCAAAAATAGGTTGAATATGATCCACAATATCCGTAAATGACAATCGCACGTTTGCATTTTGAGCCTGGTGGCTGTATTTTTTGTTATAAACGGCCCACTCTGGCAAGCGCTCGGAGAAGGCCCAGCGTAGAGCACGTGACATCCGACGCAATCGTGACGTAGGTCGTCTCGGGGCGAGCAAAGCTACGGCGAGGTTGACGTCGAGGGGATGGCCTAGTCGTTCCAGCGACCGAAGCGGCTGCTTTTGTACGAATTTTGAGTGACGGGTTAATCTTTTATAATCTTGTAGGGAGACAATAGCTACTTCTGGAACACGAGGATTCTCGGGAAGGCGGGAGTTCCTCCTTCCCCTCTTCTCTCGTCGTGGCCGGAGGCGAGACAATCTCCGTCACTAGCTGTCAATGTTCCTTTGACGGGCATTACAAACGAGGCGTTAGCGGCACAGGTGCCCTTTGCTATTAGTTTAATTCGTTTTAAAATTCTTTTTCGTGACTTTTTTAACAAGATATTGGTGTGTTTGATGTGATACTGGTCCCTTGAACACATCTTGACCATAAAATAAGCGCCGAAATTTCGTTGTAGTATCCCTTTAACAGTTACATGTGTGGACTCCCGAGAAAAGGAGACTGAAGACAGGCTTCTCATCTCCACAGTGGGGTCTGGTGTAAAAGGTAAGCGATTAATTGGTTCTGACAAACACGCAGCTTTCATTTGTGAAGATGAAAGGCCTGTTTTTATTTTTATTTTTGCCCGGAGCCCATACATTTCAATGCCATCTCAAGCGTGAATGGAGGATCATGACGTCGATTTCGTTGCGTGTGCTCGCGGTCACCGGCGGCTGTTGACTCGTGGAAAGATCGGGCTCCACTTACTACGAGCATGGAAATGTTTTATTCAGCATCCCGTTAACGAAGTAAAACGCCGTCAAACGCAACTGTGTGAACGAGCAAGTCACGTGGCTGTGTTACTCTTTTTTTAGTGGTGTGCGAATAGTTATTTCTGAAACCGAATCGAATACGGATACGAATCGAATAATTTTCGAATAGTTTCCGAATAATAAGTGGACAGCTACTAAAGTGAAGGAAAGAGATTATACAATTTTTTTATTGTTCCGAAATGTTTTTTTTTTAATTATTGTAAAAGCGCGACTAGACGATAATGAAGAAAGTTCAACGATATATAATTGAGAAGAGACAAAAGCTACTAAAACTATTAGAAGGCTAAACATAATATCATGGTTCACGTGGATGCTGAACGTAAGATCAGAGTTCGCTTGAGCATGGTACATTCTGAAGCAATGTACTTAGAAGGAACTCTACATTCTCTTTTTGTTTCTTGTTGTGGCAGATGTATTTGAATCGAGGATCAAGGAAGGTGGCAAGGGCTTGTGTGTCTGTGTGCTTACGTCCAAGAACCTTGTTTTCACTGATCTGAGAAGATTCTGGGAAAACGCATTGTCTTGTTCCACTTGAGCCCTCAAAAAGCAACATCTTCACACACTGAACAAGTGAAACAACCATAAAAAATGTTGGGAAAGACTCGACTTTATCGGCTTTTGTAGCTTCTTCAATTCGGTGCTAGGGAGCGGCCGAAACATTTCCACACTCTACTGCGCCTTTTCTTCGAACTACTTCCCGCTTCTACCACTTCTACTTTGCTCATACAGAGCAACGGTGCCGTTGCAACCAGTTCTGAGACGTCTCCACGAGAAGTCTCGTGCGAAAGCGGTCCCTAAAGGCTGAGTTAGCGATTTAGCGAGCGACGAGACGAGCGACAGCAACGAGAGTCAGCTGCGAGCGACGGAGATTTCTCACTGTCGCTCGTCGCGTCGCTCGGTGTTTGGATTTCTAGAAAATGTCCTCATCGCCTTGGTCGCTTGCTCGCGCCACCTTCATGCGGCTTGCCTCATCGCGCGACTGACCAAGCGACAGCGAGGCAAGTCGACGTCGCTTGCCTCGTCTCTGGGCGAATCGTTTTCATGCGGGTTATACTTAACACAATGGTCCCTAATGGAGGCAACAGCAACGTACGTATAGAGAGAAACAACTGCTGCCGATGATGATAATAATTGTCTAGGAGAAGAGGTATACATATTGCCATCTTGCGGGCACGTATGGCAGGCGTGCCGCAGCGTTGTGGGACGCCTGTGAAGGGAATCTCGGGGCGCGACACCGTGACGACTATACGGAAATTATTCGAAAAAATATTCGACACTTTCCAAAATTATTACTCGATTTGATTAACGAATCGAATAGGGTAATATTCGATTCGTTAATCGAAAATGGCAAATATTCGCACACCCCTACTCTTTTTTTTTTTTTTTTTTCAATCGACGTATTTGCAGTTTTTAGAAGCCCCCCGATAAATCGGATTCATATTTTCTTGTATTTTTAATATTGAGTGTGTGTTTTCGATGACCCATGACTTTGATTAAATTTGGTGGTTGTGTCTAAACCTTAGAAAACGGCCCGTGACCACGGAGAAGAGAGTGAGCGCTACTCAAACCGGCCAGTTCTCAATCGGCGGTTTTCGGGCGGAAAGAAACCGAATTTTGAGCCGAAAGTTTTGTTCTGGGTAGTTGGGCCCTCATATGTCATGTGCAACTAAAAACCTCGCGAGCATAAATACCCTGTCAGTGTCCCTTTAAGCTTCGCCTTTACGAGTGGAACGCGATAGCGTTATCGGGCCCCGTTCGCATCGCCATCTCATTCGCTTCTTATGCTTTCCGGACAGTGAGCAGGGAGCTCGTGCGGCGGACATGGCCTAGTCAGTAGCGTTTCTCGCTCGTAAATTCAAATCCCGCCTAAAATACTTTGAAAAAAATTCTGACTAATGAATTGTACTTTGTAAACTGAAATTATTTGAGACATGCAGCCTGCTTTACTTCGCATTACACATCATGTTTTTTTTAATCACTTTCTTTACACGCACGACGTCACGTTTCACGTGAGCGCTGTTTGAAATTCTCGCGCGAGGTCATGGGGCTGTGACGTCACGACCCTATTGACCAATCAGAATTTTTCCGTCACGCCTCCGACATCTGCTTTTCTGCGACACGAGCTCCTTCACACTCTCGCTTTAAAAA